TAAATTTTACACAAAATTCTCTGTGGCAGACAAATGTAAACAAATCCCCCTGTTGGCATGCCCATAAAATATTTTCGTTTTACCTAGCTGGTAACTTTCAACATGCAAATACATATATATATATATATGTATATATATAATGTGAAAATGTGCGTTTTGACTAAGTAATACTAATTGGAGTTCATATTTACATTAAGTATGACAAAATGAGAAACGTTATGGTTGTGATAATTGTGATATTTTTAATAATTATGATACGCCTAAATAGCCGCAAAAAGCTGGAAAGCTGTAAATAAATAAAAATAAATAGCTATGCTTAAAATAATAATTTTTGTATATGAATTAAGTATAATGTACCATAATATATAATTAGTACTTTTGATTATTCATGGTTGTTTTATCTTATGGGCAGCAAATGGTTTGAACTACACAGAATAATATTTATATCTGCAAAAATATCCTTCACTTAAGTTCATTTCGCATAATTAACGTGCTTGATAAGTTCGGTAAGCGTTCTTTCATATTCTAGGCTTATTTATATTTCTACTATTGCTTGGGACAAATGCCAATTTTCATTCGTATAAGAAAGGCGTTGGCAAATGCAGAATTTAAAATCTTTACACACACAAACAAGTTTGCAAAGCCGGAGATAGGTGAACGAGGAATGCGTATGTGAGAAGCATACTCATAATTCACGTGGCACCAGAGATTTTTCCTCAAAGCTGAAAAGAAAATGGCGCCTATGTCGTTGCCTTTAACATTGCGTCCTGATAGTAATCATTTCCGCATCCGTAAACCTTTCTGCAGCCTTGGCCTGGCGCAGAAAATGCTCGAAATGGTGAACAGGCAATCAAAGTTGACCTTCGTTTCATGCAGATTTGGCAGCTGTGACAATGTAAGCCGCAGGCATCTAGCCAGTTGCTGTTGGATCTGCGCATAAATTAACTAGTAATGTCTTGGCCAATTGTATAATAAAGTACGTAAGATAGATGGGCAGCAAAAGTTGGACAATTGGCTGCTTAAAGCGGCGTGTTTCACTTAACGAAATCAGGTCAAATACACTACTGCTAATCACTCACAATGTTGCTTTTTCGCCGACTCGCACATTAATCAGCTTATGGCAAATCAATCAAATCGTATCCGAAAACAAAAAAACAAAAAACTAAAGCATCTTAAGTAAATTAAATTTGTGATGATTTTCTTTATTCCTTGTGAACATTGAAAAACTACGTCAAAGTTTTAGCAACATGAACAAGGAAAGTACTTACTGACTAAGCTGGGAGATAACAACAATGCAGACCAAGTAAGCAACATTCTCTGACTTTTTTAAGTCAACGGAAGCTTGCGTCTTACGCATAGCTACAGGTGTGCCAAGGATAATGTGAGTGCTGTTTGCCATTGTTTTGTTGGCCATTAGATAGCTGTCTCAAAGGTTGCCAAATCTGCTTTGTGGGTCTAACAAAGCTTAGAAGGGAACAAAATCCTTTTTTTTAACTGCTGTAAACGCAGCTGCTGCAATGTTGCAAAATCAGCAGGAACACGTAAACTAAACAAGAAAGAGTAGTAGTTATGTTAAATAAGATACTTAAACTGGATTATAAGCACAAGCAAGTTATTATTTCTAAATGAAAGAGCCTTTAGTGTTTAGTGTTTAGTAGTTGTAAGACGAAGCTAAATAAGTACACTCAGCGAAAGTGTTCAAAATAATAATAATAACATAATAATTCAATGTTTAATTTTATGATTTTTATTAACTTATTAACTTAAAACAAAATAAGTAATTAAATAAATAGGGTTTTGAGTTCACGATTGAGTTTTTCAATAATTAATAAACACCTTTATCAATTATCATATTGTTATTAATTAAAGAAAATTGTTGATGTAAGAAATAAAGTATACAGAGTGAAGTCCCTTACACAAAATGTGCATTCGAGAGCTCAAACCTTTTGGCGAAAAGTAAACAACCCTCGGTAGAGCACTTCAAGCTCATTGTGCACACAGAATCTGAATCTGAAACCTTAGCTGTTTGACTCACTCAAACACAACCCACTTAAATAAGAAACAGTTTATCAGCATCGACTTTTTGGTCATTAACTTTAATTTAACCTTCAATAAAATACTTAACACCCAGCCAGACGCAAATGTTAAGAGTGAGCGTCCAGAGATATAATTAAAGCTGAATCATCGTTTAACCAAATCGAAATTATATTGCTGACAGTTCAAGTAGAGTGAAGGGGATCCACACCCAAAAATATCCCGTAGTGCTCGTCAATTGAAATATCCTACAAGCAGCCAATTCAAGAAACATTTCGTCTTTGTCTCGATTAGAGACTTTTAATTGAGAATAATTCGAATGTCAGACATTTCGGGTTTTCCCCTTTCGCGTGTGGATATTCAGATTTTGCCCAATGTTGATTTAATTTTAGCTCTGTTTTCTTTTTGTCCTGTGAACCCAAAACTCAGTGAGGCGAACAAGATTCAAACCATGACTGATTTAGACTTACAATTCTTTCCACTTTAACAACATGAAGCAATTAAAACCTTTGAACTGAAACGGATACGAATAGCGCGCCCCTAAAAGCACGCAATGTTTCTGCTCTTTCATATGTGACAGGCATGTCAAGCAGCCACTACCCCATCCCTGGAATATATCACGCCCTTACCAATTAGCAGAACAGTGACTGTCAGCACTGGCCGAGTCGCAGGCACGTGCATTTGATGGTCAAAGTTGGCGTGGTCGAAACTTTTGGGCAAAAATAAGTATAAATCTTAGGCTATCCAAAATGCCGTCAGCAACAGGCTCAAAAAAATAAAAATAAACACAAACCGCAAAGGCGAAAATCATTGCCACACCGAATTTCGCATACCCTCGCAAAAGTGTGTAGATAATGTAGATTTTAGGACTTATCTAACCAAATTTACTTAAAATATTTTCAATAAATAAAATTAACAAAACTTAAATAATATTTATATATTTAAGCTTTATCTGTTAGCAAAGTAATTATTTTCTTTAGCCTAAACGCCAGTCCACGTTTGTATACCCTGCCCTTAACAAATCCAACATTTGACAGTTAACAAACCGCAATTGTGTTAGTCAGTTGTGAGGGCGACATCTGATCTAAGACTTTAAGTTGAACTTGCCACAAAAATCTAAAGATGTCAAAGCCAGGCGCTTGAAAATAATCAAAGTAAATAATCGAAATAAAATTAGAAACAACACTTTATAAACTTATTGGTGAACATAAATTTAATATTAGAGAATGAAGAAACTAGTATTGCACAAATTTAACTCCGCCAACATAATTTACTGCCTTATTAGACATAAAATGACTTTCGATAAGCTTTCTGTTATCATATTAAATATGCTGAGCTTCTTTAAATCTTTCCATTTTTTGCTATAATTATGCCTTGTCTTTTAAATGTTGAAACTTTACTAATGCTGCGAAAATGAGTGAATGAAAAACGAGTTAATTTGGATAAAGTGTGTGTGGCCTTACGGAAGCTTAGGTACATGGCCTAAGTATGTGCATAATTAATGTTTTGTTTTTTATGCACAATTATTACACCTGAGAAAATAAAACAGCCGCAAAATGTTTTTACCTGTTCGACCAGAAAAACGTGATACGGCCAATGAATTCGAGAAGCGGGCAATTTGTCATGAATATGAAATTTTTAATGAAATGCTTTAGGCACGCATTGGCATGAAGACTCTCCACATGACTTGGCAAACGTTTTGGGAGCACAAAGGATCAACGGAACGAACCACAGAGTACGGCTTGCAAATCATCGAGGGAAGCATCAAAACAACAGTTAAAAAGCAATCGAAATGCTGTACAAAATGCCATGAACATCAAATCTCCAATGAGCAAGCCGCAGCAGCAAATATAATTGACATTGGCTGACCTTTGCCAATTGAAATGGTGTGAATCAATAATTAAATAGAAGAAAAACCCGAATTGAGCCACGTCAAAAAAAAAAAGTGGCAAATGACCGGCAACAATAAAGAAAAGAAAATTAAGGCGTTCGAACACAATGGAGCGTGTGCATATCCAAGGGACTTCCCAAGGACTCGTTGCAGACTCAGCACAGCAACAGCGCATAGACAAACAGCAGGCGGCAAAAACTGCTAAACAATTGCGTGCTAAACGCCAAAAACGTCAAAGTCAAAAAAACAATTGCTAGCAAAACAAAAAAACATAGACAGCTTCTAGCTGTAAATGAAAAGATAAATGACATCGCAACAAAAGAAATGGAACCAGGGACAGTTCTTTTGGCATTTGATGTTTCCAACACCGTCCATTAGTTGACTAAGCTCTAGATGTTTTAAATTAATTAAGGTCACAAGCCAGCGCGCGCTGCGTGTACAAAACAATTTCATTCATATTTGCTGATGTTCACCTAAGACATGGGAATTGTAACACAATTCACCCCTCTTCTGTTGATAGTGTTCCTAATTTGCCCCAACACAAAGTCCCATGCAACAAAAGAATATTATATCTTACTTGTTTACTTATGGTCCTGTACAAAGTTACTCAAGTTGATAAAATGTTGTATTTGGCGACAAAGTCTCACCAGATACCTGAAATGCCAGCTTAGAAATGTAAATTCTTATGCAAATAAGAATTTTTCACAACCTTGTTCTCTTTTTGTGTTGATTACCTTGATTGAATGGCAACAACTCAACTTTGATGTCAACTTAAACTAATAAGTGTAGTTGAAAAACTTTGTGGGCTTTTAGAAGTTTTTATTATTTTTTTTTGTAAAGAATTTTGTATTTTTTGTTTTAGTTTTTATTACAAATTGAAAATATGCTAAGCCACATTATTGTTGTTGTTGTGTCCATATATATTTACTATGGCAGATATATTTTCTCATATGCAGTGAAACGTTCATGTATCCTTACAGCATTAATTTGATTGTGAACTCTAAAATTCAAACGGTTTATACTTGAAAATCGAGTTTTGTTATCAATACAAGTGTGTATTTATAAATATAGCATCTAAAATATACAAAAAAGGAACAATTTATGGCGCTCACGATGTTCTGGAGCAGCACATAACTGATTTGTTTTTTATTATAATAAATGTAAATCGAATTTTTGGTTTTTTATATACTTGCACTTATTACTAAGACATGAGCTAAAAAATTGAAAATAAAAACTTTTTTGAGAGTTGTTGTTGTTGATTATGTTTTCTTTTATGTTGTTGTATTTTTTTTTATATATTTTTCTTGTATTTATTATTATTATTATTATTGTTACTACGGGAAGTACGCACTTGATGGCAATATTGAGTTGGAGGCAGCCCCGGTGGTTGTGGGGCTGGCAGTTTTGAAAAAATTCAATCGTTGTTGAGGATTGTAAATCTACAGATAAGTTTGCTACTTTCATTGAATTCCGGTTCTTGTTGTGGAAATCAAAGCTTGTCGTTGTTTTGGGGACCCCATTGATGCATTCGTTGTTGTAATTGTTGTTGCTTTAAAGTTCGTTTTCGTTCGTTTACAAAATTGAGCGGTGTGCTGTCAAAAGTGATAGTAATATTTATATTAATAACAATGAAATTATATATCAGTTTAACAAATAGAAAACTATAATTTGTTTTTTTTTTTTTTAAATATGCGTGCAATTTTCTAAATATTTTTTAAAAAGGTTATTTACAATTTAAATAGTTTTTCGAATGGTTACTTCTACAAGGTAGTTACAGTACGGATGCTCTACGACTATGCAATTCAAGGGATACTACGGGATACACTATACGGTACTACGCGTCAGCTATGTAGTTTTGCATGAACAAATTTTTCACATGCTGCGGTAGGAAATTTTTTTCCATATAAAATTCTTACCAATTTGTTTGTATTGCATTTCGTTACATGTAATTTATGTAAATTAAAGTACAAAAAAATTACAGAATTGCTATTTGATATAGCATCGCTTGTTATTATAGCTAACGATTTTGAGTTGTGATTTGGCTTTTTTAAATTTATTTTTAGAAATATTCCTCTGCCTCAGCTGTGTATGGCAAATAAATGTAAATAAAATAAAAATTAAAAATGTTAAAGTATTCATATTTATGTATGTAGACTAATTGAAGTTTTTAACTGGCACACTGTTACATGAGTATTGATTTTAACTATTGGAATTGAATTTGGAGTCAGCTTTTAACTGGCAAACTGTTACATGAGAATTAAATTAAACTATCGTTCTCTATAATATGAATCTCTCTCATGCTTTGTGCGATCGTTTAAAATGCATAAAATGAATTTATGGATTTTTTTAAATATTAAATTTTTTCTTTTTTATGGGAATTTTGCCAGTAGACAGCATAAGATACTATATACAGGGTGCAGGCCTTGCATCGTATTTACAATTATGGAAATAGAAATTGTCTTGCGACTACTTACGTGTCAGAGGCCTGGCTGGATGCCTGGACCAGAGATAACGATTCTTCACCGGCGACAAGTACGAATCGCGAGCCACGGGGCTCGAGGCACGGGGCACCGAGGTGGCACGGAAGGGCACCAGATCATCCACATCCCACCAGAAGGGATCGCGCACAATCGATGAGACCGGCAAGTTGGGGCTGGGGCTCAACATATCCCTGAAGCGGTTACGTGGATGGAAGATTGGAAGTCCTATTTTGGTTGGACATAGTTGTTGGCATGTGTTTATTGTCAAGTAGCAAAATCATCGGTAATGATAGTTGTGTTGTTGTTGTTGTTGTTGTTGTAGATGAAGTGCGTTTGGTGGGGTATACAATTAAATTTGTAGATTTTTGTTGTGTTTGGTTGTATTGCAATGTATACAAGAAGAGCAGAAAGAAAAATATTTTTTGCTTTGCTTTTAAACTAAAATATAAGAATTATATAAAAAAAAAAACAAGAAAAGACAACGCTTTAACATCAACAGTATTTTGATATTTTCCATGCGTATGTGAGGTTTCGAAGTGGAAAAATTTACCAAAAATCTAAAGGAGATTTTCATGACGATAGGAGAGAATATGTGGATGGGGTAGATGCCAGGCGCTACGCGAAGCAATTCAAAAAGCAATGTGGGTGGAAAATAGCGTTTAAGTGAATAATATATTGTAGACTTTAAGCACGGCGCTTAATTTTGGGCTAACATTGTTTTTGTTTTCTTTTTTTTTTTTGTTTTGCCTTATTTGTTTGCTGATGCTGTTGGTAGTACACTCAACATAAAGAACAGATAAAAATGCTGTTGGGTAAAAGCCAAAGTATATAATAAACTGAAATTTTGACAAGATCTAGTGACACACACAGCGACTGAAACAGATATGAACGCATTGCGAAAAATATGGCAGCCATTTTTCAACACGTTCATCATCATTATTGTCGGCATAATCATTTTACGTCGCATTTGGGCAAAAGAAGCCATTAAAACAACAACGAGAAATTTCGTCTCTTCTTGTATAAAGAATAACGGATAAGAGAAATTTAGATTTTTACCCTCAGCATCATAGGCGACTTCAGTGGGACGTGGTCCCCAGCGACCGGCTTTGACAGGAGTGGGACTGGGCGAGCCGGCGCGCTCAAAAAAGCTTGGCCTAGCAGCTGCATTGGCTGCTCCGGTTGCACCGGCTGCCTCAGCCTCAGCAATTGCTGGCAACTTACTTTCAAAGAGTTCATCCAATGGTTCCAGCGAGCTGGCGCGGAAGATTGGCCGCGTGAACGGGGCCAGGCTAGTGGCACGATCAAACACAGATGGTCCACGTGGCACGCTAGCATCGCGATTCCAGTACGACGGTGGTGGCACATAGGGTTCGCTGCCAGCGCGAGTGGAGCGGCTGGGACGGAACGGCGAGGCCGAGCGGCGTGCTGCAATAGTGAATAAGATACAAATACATAGTAGCTATAGCAGCAGACAACGCTTATAATTGCAAGAATATTATTACCAATTTGTAAAGTACCAAATGTCCCTAGTACAATTAATCCTATTGTATTGAACTTGCTCCCTAATGAGATACGTTCTTATTGAGCTCCATATTTCAATGATGTGCTCGCAAATTATTTACATACTTAAATATAAAGCGCAGTGCACATTATATATATTTTAAATCAGATTACTTGCACAATTCTATTATTACTTATACAGAATACTGTGTATCTAAAGAAGTACTAAGATTTACAGAACAAATCTATTTCATTTAATTCTGCAAACAAAATTGCTATCGTAAAAAATATTTACCTTCTCTATTGAAGTGGGAAAAAGTGAATTTAAATCGTTATGCGACAGTTGAATACTTGAGCTCCTATTGAAAAGATAGGCAACGGTCTTTGAATTTGCATATATATGTGAATAAATCGTCTTAAATTGATAAGGCACTGACTTTTCTTCCATTATTTTTATATGTACGTGTGCATTTCTTATTCGCAAATCTTTATATTTTTTGTTTTACATTTCAATGCTTTTGAGTTTCTAAAGCTAATACTCAATATAATGGCCTTTGGAGTTCTCAGAATAAAACATGATTTTAAATTCACTTTGTAAAATTGTACATTAGAGAGACTTTAATAAAATGAAATGTTCTCTTTTGCAGATATAATGGTATTCCTTTTGTTCCGATCTTTTAATATAAGGTAGGTACTTACCGAAGTATTTTCCAAAAACACAATAACCCAACGATGTTCATATCTAATATCTAGTCTAGTAACAACACACTAAACAAAATACATAGTACAAAATTACAAAACTGTGGGCACGAAACAAGTTACGAAACTTTCACACAATCATTTTTTTTATCGAATAAATAAATACTGCCAAAAATAAATAAACAAAATTTAAATAATAATAATAACATAGAAATTGAATGTGAAACACATTGAACATAATATTCGTTAAATATTTCATTTGATTTAAATGTTTAGTTTTTTAAGTATTGGCAGTTTATTTACAGGCACCGCACAGTGTATGTAGTATCTATGTTCTTTTTTAGTAGTTGTGAGCTGGGGAGCGACGAAGAGATGATAAACAATCACATAAATGGGCGTGGGAAAGTAAAAATGATTAATTCAAATAAAAATAACTTTGCAGTATTAAACACAAAAACAAATATGTATAACAAATAAAAAATACATATTTTGATATATGATGGTATATTTAAAAACGAGTACGAAAGAGGACAAAACTTGAATTAATTTTCAAAAAGAGTATAGATATGCAAAACACAGTTTTTTATATTTAATAGTTTTTATTAATTCCTTTTGTATTAATCTAAAAATTACTCAGAATCGGGACAAGCCAGTTCGGCTCGAGAGCGGTATAGTATTTATCATACAGGCTGTCAGGGCTAGATTATTGCGGTCAAAGTTTGTATAGTACAGCTGTTAGAAAAAATGGGTAAGGCTTAAAGTAGTTGGGAGATTGATGTTCTTTTTATAATGGTTCTATAATGAGCTGATGAGCTGGCGCATCGCGTGAATGAAAAATGGGTGGTTAAAATGTTTAATTCATATATAAATAATTTTAATCAATGTTTATATGATATCTTCTGAATATGTCTAAATTAAAATTAGATTTTATATATGTTTTGTTTGATTTTATTACTTTCGTTTTTTTATGTTGTTGTTTGTTTGTTGTATAAATAAGTTAAAAATAAAAATTAAGTAAAGCATCATATCATACAATGAAACATTTAACGAAATTGTTTTTTTTTTTCCATTTACTATATTGGGGGCTGGATTTTTTTTACAGACAAATTAATTTTAAATTATTTTATCATTACTTGCTGTGCTTTTGTTTAACAATTGTTGCATAATTTTACAATTTACTAAAGCTAAGCCGAAAACAAATGTTTTTAACCAGTTAGCTTTTTTCGAATGTAAACGCTCAGCGCTTCAAACTTTTAGGGCTGCAATATATAGTATACGATACAGTGTTAAAGATACAGTTCGTTCAAATATTTTAAAATATTTTCAAATGAAAACTTGAACGATGTAAATTTCTAGTGCTTAAAAATTTGCTCGTCAAGTTTCGCGTTGGTGTTTTTTGTTTTGTCTGTAAATTTGTTTACTGAATTTGAAAAAATTCTGTTGAGTTTTTGTTGTTGTTTTTTTCCTTCGAATTGATGTTGTTTTGCTATTTTTTCGTGCTTACATTTTGTAATTTCTTGGCATTTTTTTATAAGTAAATTTAAATTTTGTTTTCGTTTATCATAAAATATCAAATTTCGTAGATTTTTATTTAAATGTTGCAGTTGTTGTTGTATTGTTTACTTTTTTGCTGATGTTCTTGTGTTTTTTTGGACGTATTTAGAAAATGTCTTTAATATCCTTACCCTTGTTGAGTTCTGTCAACAGCTTATCCTCTGGCTCGTATTCCAAAGGCACCAAAGAGTTTGGTGTGAGTGGCTTGTCTCTCAAGTAGAGACCATAGCGAGATGGATATCTGCAACGCATAAATAATACATCAGACAATGGTGAATCCTTTCGATATCATAATATTGCAAATAGCAATTCTACACACCTGCGCTCAATTTCTTGCATGCGCTTCAAATGATCATTCCAGGCCTTCTCTGCATCGTAGTTTGCTGGAACTGTGAAGAAAAAATTATCCAATATTATATACATAATTCTGTACGAAAATGTATAAAAGCATTCCAAAAAAATTCAAATGGAAACCAAAAACTCAACAAAAATCATATGCTTACATTTGAAGGCGAAAGAAACATTAATAAGACGCTGTTAAACTAGGGCTCATAGCGTATGCGTTTTATTCCCATATGTCAAAAAAAGCAATTGGATATACGTACGATATTTATCCAACAAAAAGCGGTAAATAGAATTAATATGCAGCAGGAAAGAAAAAAAATAAAATTTAATATATATTTTAAAAGTTGCATTCAAAGTATTTAAGCCTTTGGTATGAAAATATCAAGTGCACAAAATGTAAATGAAAATGCAAATCATGTTCAAATTCGAAATGCGATACAAAATACCTTATGAATGTCATGAGTTTGAAAGTTTGAGTTTCCACAGCACGAGAAATTGTTTAAAAAAACTTTTATTGATATTCAAACAACAGAACTACATAAGAAAAAGTGTTATAAGTCATATTATCGTACTACACACTGCTAATACACACATATAGAAGCTATTACTACAGATTTGCTTTGCTTGGTATTTATTAAATATATATATAACTATAATGTTGATTTTGCCTAGAGAGAAAACTTTTGTTGTGCGCTGCGTTGATATATATATATATATATGTATATATATATATATATTTCTTTCCTTATATATCAAATATATTTCATTCTTTATACATGAAAAAAAATTGTTTTTGTCGATAAACATTTATGTATTTTCTGAAACATTTATGAGAAAAAAAGAGAGAGAAAAAATTGGTTAGTTTCGAAAACAAAAAGTAAATTTGACTAAGGGGCACCAGTTAGGGGTGTGCGTCTGTGTGTGGGGTAAAAACTGAATAGAGCTTTGTTATAGGGATAAGCAGGGAACAGATTTTATCAACAATCAAGAAAATTATATAAAAAAATGTATCTAAAATTGTATGCCTCAGTTATTTGATCCGAAACACGCATGAGCAAATTGAAAATGTTCTCCCATGCCTTATGTACCTGCAAATATACATATGTATAAATATGCATATGTATAAAAATAAATAAATATATGCATGTGACTGTGTGTGTGTTTACCAGCACAAAGCTTATGAACATGTGTATATTTTGTTTAAACTTTGTGGGCCTTTGCCAAAAACATTCTTCGAGCACACTGAAAATCATTGACGTAATTCTATTTTGGCGCTATGCTGATCTTTTTTCTCTGCTTTCTTATTATTTATATAATTATGAAATCATAGAGAAATATAAAAAGTTATTTTAGCAACGCGTTAGCAACTCAAGGTGTGATGCAAGGCATTCAAAATGCATGATTGACAGATGCAATGATTGAAATGCGCTGACTGACTGATTGACGGACTGATTGACTGAGCCATTAAGCTAAATTAAAGTAATAAATTTAAAACGCTTAGGCATTAGAATTGTGCGGGTTACTGTTGCTGTAGGATACTTATTGGTTGTACTTAGTACAATAGTTAATTTAACTTGGCCAACTTACTTGTTCTGCTGTAATGATGATCGTAAATCGCACGTGGCGAGTAACCGTAGGTGTCACGGCTCACTGGCAAATATCTGTAGCCAGATGACTGAACGCGCTCGTTGGCCGTGGCGGGCTCATCATAGATGCTCCTGTATGTGGGCGTATCCAGGTACGAGCTGTATGGGCGAGAGGCTCTTGGGGTCTCATGGGCGCGAATATCTTCGGAACCTGTGGAGTGACAATACAAACAACATATTGTATCAAATTGACGGACTTACTATGGGGATTGTCTTACTTCATTAGGTTTTGCGCTATTTCAGCTATTTGGCTCATTGCCAAAAAATTGATTTCATTTTCGTATTTTGAATTTTGTAGTTTTATATGAGCGCCTAGCTATTTTGCCTTGGCGCAGCAGCCACATTTTTTCGCTTTGTTTGGCTCATGAGCACATAGTTAAAATATTTTCAATATGTATATGTATTTGTCTAATATATACATATTTCAATTTGAAAGAGAGCTTTTCACATTTATGTGAGCTTTTTTTTTTTGGTGATTACGCCTAAAATGACACCTGCCAAAAAATAGACCACAATTCTATACTCTGCTGTGCTATTTCTGTAGTTCTCAAATCTCAAATACTTCTGATTTTGATAGCGCTCTTAAAATAAAAGAAACTAAACGAGCTATTCATAATTGATGCTTATTTTTCGTGGCTGACTAATTGCATACTAGTCTACAATTTTAATTTAATAAGTATTAAGTAAGGTATATTATGTGGTTATTGCTTACCCTTCAGGGATCTGATGTAGGATTGCCAGAATTTGGCCTTCTTGCTGGGGCTCTCATTGCGCCCAATCATTTCCAAATGGTTTTTGAACATTTTGATCGATTTGTTTTGTGTCTTTCAAGCACAAGAAATTTTCGTTGAACTCGTTCGCTGCAATACCAAAAAGTATTATTTATTTCGTTATTTTTGTTCTTTTAATTTGATTTTTATTTATTTTTTATTCAAGTTGTATTTGTTTGCACTTTGCACCAATTTCAAATGTTTTTCTGTCAACGCTAAAATTTGCAACTCTTAAATTTTATCTCACGTTTTGGCTCTGATTGTGAGTAGTGTTCTATTGTTCAAATGTCAGCACGCACGAGATTGGGACAGCGCACAGCCCAGAGATGTGTTGCTATAGTTGTCGACGTGGATGTCCAAATCTTGGCTGACTCGGCGCTTTTGTTCAGTTCGAAAATAAACAGACTGTGTGCCACTTTAGAGCAGAGCAAAGTTTACAAAAATTCGTATAAAATACTTGTCTACTTGTTTATATACAATATATATAAATATATATATATTATATATATAAATATATACATATATTCAGCAAGATCAATCACTAAAAATAAATTTATTTTTGAAATAATATCGTCAGTATACGCATACAAAAAATATATACGCATGTATGTATATATATACTACATATTAAAACCTATATGAAACGGCACACTGAATTTTTCACACTCTCAATATGTATAAGTGAAACTAGCAAAATTATATATATATATATCAAGTCGATCTGCTGCTTGTATGAATAATCTGTGTGACCGTTTGTGTGCGTGTGTGTGTGTGTGTGTCTGTGTGGATGTGAAGACAATCGGCGACGAGTGCAGCTAGTTTTGCGTTATTTTTAAATGTCCTTGAGTTGAATTTTTTTCCTGGCGGGCGTCAGGTTAAAAAGACGACGCCAAAATTCTCAATTTAATTTCATCGAATTTTTTTTTATATATTGCTGTCAAGTTTTGTTCGAATTCTTTAAGTTTTCGCCTTTAAAATAAAATATGTATGTACTTTTCGTAAACAATTTCCTTTTAATTGTTTTGTTTTAATAATGTTTGTGAAAACAATGTTTAAATTGCATTTTGCAAATATTCGTAGAAAGTTGAACACTTCACAATCGCTTTACTAATTTTCATAAAACTTATTCAATATTCACTTGGTGTCAAATGTCTTTGGCTATTATATAATCAGCCATTTGGAATCATATTTTGTCATAATTCCATATCAAAGTACCCAGATTGGAAAGCGACCTGAGCACTTTTACAAAAATTTTGTTTTATTCACTTTGTGATTGTTCAATAACGGCAACACATTTATTTAATAATTATTTAATTGTCCCATAGAAATTCAGTTCATATTATTTATAAGTATGGGTGTCCATATTCTATTTGTTGCTTGGCTTACAATTTGCTTTACTCCTAAAAAATAGCGATCTATCCTCAACGAAGAATTTTTTCAAACTGCCAACGATTCGATATTCGCCTCACCAATTTTACTCGTTTCAGAATTTGCCATTTGTTTCATAGCCGACAAAAGCACGATATTCCTTTACGGCGTAGGTAGCCGATCTCTACATCTACTATATACCTATGCATGTAAATGTGTTTGAATGTGTGTGTGTGTGAGTGTGTGTGTAGCCAAAAGCTCAGCAAGTTATAGCTTTCGACGAATCTGTGGGAAGTTGAGGACGGCATCTGGTAAATTGCTCGGTTGCCGGCGCCCACTCATTGTTGTGGATTTCAATGAAAGCGGTGACGGCGATGATCATAAAAAGAAAGCCAGAAATTAACCCGCACACACACACCACCAAATCCAAATTGTTTTTTGTTTTTTTTTTGTACAAATTTATTCTGGTTTCGTGATATATATTCTTGTTTTTAAAACTCTGTCCCATTCATATTTATTCATACTTTTTTTTTGGCCTCTGGACAATTAATGTTACCAACTCATTTAAGACATACATTATCTGAATGCGTCAATTGTGGTATTGAATTGTGCATTGACCTTCTATCTTTTAAATTATAAATCATTTTTAATTTCAACTCGGAATAATTTACAGACTACAAAAAATATAAGTAGATGTATAATATATTCGACCAATTTGATGAATTAAATTAACTCATGCATGATATTGAAAATTCTGATGAGATACACAAAAGTAAATGCAATGGGGCTGTTATCATGCATGAGTCAACTTAATTCATAAAGCGAAGTTACATTTTTTCATATCTACAAGAGAGATGAGAGAAATCTTTTCGGTAGAACATTTGACAGTAGGCATTACTCCCATTAGTTTGCTATAAAAAGTATTTACAAACGTTGATTGCATACTGAAATATATTTATGTGCTAATAATATAGCCAGTATATATTTATTTAATGATTTACCTGTTTAAATGTAAATATATTGAATTAGTGGGTATAATTGATGTTATTGATAAATTTGATAACTCTTTTCCTAATGAAAGCATTAAACTTTAAACCGGAAATAGTAGAGATGGATTGGCTAATGACGTTCAGATTGTCTTAAATGGAATTCCTTGCAAATTTATGCTATTCCAATTTAATATTATTTCTGTAATATTTGCATGAGTGCATATGATTTGTAAATCCAATTTGCACCTGTTCGTGTGAATTAAAAACCAGATTTGAACGCCCAAACCGATGGCTACGTGTGCATTGGTCAATGATAAATAAACAAATAGCACTCATGCATAAACTAAAGCCATAATTTTAACATAAAAGATAAACAGATTCCGGAAAATGTACACAATTTAAAATCAACATGGCGGTAGGGAAATTGAACGTGGGTGGATGGATAATCTGTGCTAGAGGGCAGATCACTATTATGGCTACATCCATTGGTGTGCGCGTTGAAGGCCAACAAATGATTTTATTTAAATTGTTGTTATCTGAGCTGCGCAAATGCAATTTTACCTTTTAAATTTACATCGCGAAATTTGTTTATTTTTCGTTAGAAACTTTACCAAATATATATTCTGTCCTGTTTATGTTCTAAACAAAAATCAATTTTCGTTGTTGCAACTGCAACGGACGCTCATTTGACTTTGTTTGTTTATCTTACATAAGACGAAAAAACTTGTTTACCCTTAAAAAAAAAAGTACAAATTGGCTAGACGTAATTTTTGGTCTTGAACTTGACAATGTCTGCAAGTGCAGAGCAAATCACAAAGAACTATTGGGAAATACCTGGCAGAGATTTCTTTTGGCAAATCGAATTAAGTTCACCTAAATGAACCTAAAAATCGCTTAAACTTTTACTTTCTGGCACATTTTCTGAGCATTGGCAAATCAATTTGGTTTTGTTTTTTTTTTCATTGCATTACCGAAAAAAGGAAAACAGCAACGAAAAATGTAAAACTGAAAGTAATTTAATTACTTTGATGTTCATTTAATTGCCAAGTGTGAATGGCTTAGAACAAAGTCTTTAAATGGCATTATAGCTGCTTTTATTTAAAAATATGACGATTGCAAACTGTTATTTACAATTGGGTAACATGATGATACACTTTGTACCCCTTGTAAATCATAGCTGAACCAGATTTTCAGATTTAAAACCACTATAAGGATAGTTAGCCTGATCAGCAAATATCTCATTCAGTTCCTGGGGAGTTTTTTTGGTCACACATGACCAGCCATCCTGCCGCATATGATAAAGACTAATTGGTCCACCCGTGTGCCAATCCATTTGGGAAGCATTATGAATGACATTTAGGGCCAGATTGTACGCCTCATCATTTCCCAAATCCCATTTGTAGAATCTCTTGATGAGCCCCGAAGCATACACTTCGCCACTGCCAACAACATGGCAATTAACCTCTTCGTGGGAGCCCTCGGAATCAACATAGATAAGCTTAGCCCCATCAACGGGATCGTAGCCAGCTAACATCATGCCCATGTAGAGTTCGAGGTCCCTGAATCTGTACATCATATTACTCATCATCTTCGAGGCAATAATCACCGGCATGCAATGTCCATAGTTGAGTTCGAAAAGGCGGCACTCTCTGGTTAGGGCTCGACACCAGAAGGCGCAGTCGCCGGCACATCCGGCAAAGGTGCCCAATATATTCTTGTGCACCACTATGATTTTCTCCATGCTCGTCGAAGAAATGCTTTCTTCATTTGTGACACGTGACTCAGCGCTCAGAATGATGCCACCCTGGTATTTAAATCCCAATGTGGTAGTCCCGTGATTCCTAATACGTTTCTCAAAATTCGGGTTGCGTGGTGCATTATGTGAATACGGATTTTGGAAGATGTTGTTCTCCTTATTCAGGACACTTACTTCATATGATTCATTCGCATTGTCCCCCTTGAGTATTCTATGTAGGCCGCAAATTTCTTCAAGAGCCATATCCCTTCTGAAAATGTCTGGCGAAATATGTAGCTCCTTTATAAAATTATGAATTAATGGTTGAAGTTTTTGTTGTCGTATTGGAAACCTTTTCTGCTATTTAGAAAATTCTAAATTTAAAAAATCTTATTGTAGTATAGCCTACTTGATTCAAGCACTTTTGTTCCTTACGATGTATCAATGAATGCTTGGTCTTCTTTTGAAATCACTTAAAAATCTTTTTCTGTTAAATAAGATGTGAAAAACCGAACATTCCTGAAACATTTCTTAACATAGTTGGCAGTTTACATAAAAAACCACATTTTAATTAAACAATTTAATGAAGCTACCTCCAACACAATCCTCTTTCATCTTATTTAAGCTATCTGCCACACAATCTTTATTTACTTAATGCTGTTAAAAGGCAAGTCGCATGCCAAGATTCTGCTAAGATGAGCTTGCAGTTACAATTCCCAAGTGGTTGACCGGCAGGCGTGGCCCTGAAGTCATTAGCAAAAATTATTAATTTAGGAACGTTTACGAAAATTTCACAGGCATGATTTAGCTAAGCTTAACTTAAGGCATGAGATATATATATATAATATAATATATATATATATAATAAGTAAAAATGACTTAGAGACAAATATCGACTATGAAATACTCTGAACCAAATACTTTGCATATAATAAGTTTTCGATATTTAAAAAAAAAAATTGTGAAATATGTCTACAGAAAAGCTAATTCTGATACATAATAAATGCTTTATGGAATCAGAGATGCTTCCTTTTAGTTTTTATGTACTTTTGCAAAACTTCAATATACCCTTTTACCCATTTTAAATGGATTCAGGGTATTAAAATTTTAAATATTTGCACCCAGTGCCAGACAATATTGTAAGCAGTCCAAATACGAAAATGTATCATAAATTATATATATACGCATGTGAGGTACTCATGCAAAAGTTGTGTGGCATCTTAAGAAATGGGGTCAATTATTAAGGTAATTATTTTTTCTCTCTCTATCTGCATGTTGATGCTGCCATTAAATATCGAAAATATGCCACACTGGCAGCTAAACAGACAGCAGCAATTATATAGTATTAAACATTTATATTAATTATATTGGTGCATACTATGCAGTAATGTAAGCAACAATTTCCATTTATATGCTTTTAGATTTGCAACACTTGAGTTTTAATTAATCGCTAAATAAATTTTACGTATTTATTTGAGTGTCAAGCAAAATGAAAAGCAACAAGACTGCAAATCAAAATCACACAAAGACAACGCAGCGTATGAGCAATTTTCAATATTACGTTCTTTTACTTGTCTAGAAAAAAAAATCAGTACAAATAAAATAAATATTTTGAGTCATACATTTGGCAGCTCATGCTAATGCCTGGTTATGGCCATTATATTAAGGCGATTCAAAAATAAGAGCAAACAAATATTAGATAAAAAATAAATAGATTTAAATAATTTGCCCGTTCCGCAAATACAAAAAGCTCTCGTCGCTCCATATAGCCTATATGCTATGCTTGTTCATATAGCATCGCTCATATATGTATACTTAACCTTAACATATAGCATCCACCTTCAAAGCGCAAAAGTGTTCAAATACATTTTCTCAAAATATAAAAATAAATATATGCATGTATGTATTCTCAACTCTCGGTTCGTATGTGTTTCTCTCAGTATCTACTCGAGCGGCATACATACACAAATATATATGTATATATATATATATATATATATATATATATATATATATATATATATCCAATGCCCTGCTAGGGACATTGCAAATGGTATATCATTGCGCTAAGCTCTCGGCGTTACCCACGCAAATGAACTTGAAAATTAATTATTTGCCTCATAATAAGACAAATGCGTGAAACAGTGTACATAAGGCGGTACATAAGCTATCTTGTACATAAGTATATTTTCTCATTGCCAGTAGGTGTTGGCTTCAATAATTTATTTGTGTTTCAGTCATTTCGTTGTTTTTTCCATTTGTTTATAAATTCATTTCGAATTTACGGCAGCCGGGAATGTTTTCGCCTTAATTTTGCATATGACGTGAACTTTTTTGGATGCTGGAAAACATGTTGGATGAGACAAATACACCAGTAAATGTAAACAACAGCGTAAGCTGTAATTTTTTAAGCTTGAATTATCAACCAGAGTGTCTTCAACGAAGTAACCCTTGACTATCTTTATCTTTATCTTTAGACGGACCTGTCAAAATCTGTAAAACAATTTACACCTCTTAGCACTTCATCACTCAATGTCGATGGACATGACAGATTTGCACATTATTCTAGCGATTTACACAACGGTCAAGGACATTAAGGTCACATTGTGCAGCGCCCAAAACTAGAAGCCCACTTTGAATGCAGACTGCAGTTGCCGAGCACCCTTTTGATATATGTAGTCAGAACGAGATGATTGATGATAACACGCAGCGCAATAATTCAGACAAGAACATTTTATTGGTTAACATCTCTTTTGATATTTTGGCATTTCGTTTACATTTTCAAAAATCCATTTTGGCATTTCGCTAAGAATTTTGCGGTGTTCATCGTAATTTTTTATTGGTTTTGAAACACTGTTGCTGACAGCTTGTTGCGGCTTGTTTAGCCTCTATGGGGATTATAGCTTATTATTTTCCATATTAGCTTAAGTATTTTGGCAAAAAGTATAGCGAAAAATAAGTTCAGATTTTAATTGTTGTTAGACATTTGAACAAACACACTGGAAATTTTAATATCTATAGAAATTATCAAATAGAGCTCTCCACATGAGAGCAAGTGCACTTCCTTTCGCCTGCGACCACTTCCTGCAACAGTTATTGCTATAAGCACCCTATCATCACCCTATCAATAGGGTACTGACGTCACTAAACAGCGCACATCACATCCTGTTTATTATTTTGGCGATTTAAACGCGCAAAAAGTAAAAAATAAATACACATGCACACAGCTATGTTTATGGTATGCGAATGTATATCCGATGAGCATTCCATTCATGAAGAAACGCCCCGACGTAATTGGCCGATAAAAACGAGACATCAAAAATGAAATAAAAATATACTATTAATGCTGTAGAGCTGAAGCAGAGGACACCATTTTGGACAATATTTTGATCTGTTTGGGACAAGTGTTATTATTATTATTTATTTTGAGGGTTTTTGTGTGCTGAAGGCCAAATGGTGGGGCGGTCGAAACTGAAAGTTGTTGTTTAATTTATATTGTCTTTAGAGCTGTACAATGTTGTGTTGACAACTTTGTCTAATTTTTGCTTGTACAACGTCTAAATAAGCATTTGAATTTTTCATATTGTCTCTCTCTTATATAGTAGTTCGAACATCATTGTTTTATAAATACGTTGTATTTCATTTTTTCTTTCTTTTCTTTCTATTATCTAATATCACGAATATTCAAGGCTAGCCTCTTTTTATCTAGTATCCCAAATACATTTTCGAAAACATGAAAACGAAAAAGTTGTTCTTATTTTTTTATCTGGCTGACGTCAAGGGTTTGTGTTTTTGTTTATATGAAATCTTATGGGCAATTAAATTTAAGGCGGAAAAAAATTTAATTTAATATAAATACAAAATGTTTTTAGAAGAAAAGAGCAAACGCACCACGCCATATCACAGAGTTCAAAGCATATCAATTTAATCCTAAAGTTCAGCTTTATTTAACATAATTCCCAACCAATTCAAGCAAAATGCAATGAAGTAAAACGCGCGAGAAAAATGCAAATGCTTGATTTTCCATAAATTTATGATTTAGGATCTTTCAGACTTACATTCGGCATATTTGGCATGGCATTTTTTATGCGACAAATTTATGAATGGAAAAGTTGGTGGTGTGAGTGCGGATAACCATTAAGAATACAATGAAATATGTTTATGACAAAACAAATGGCAATAAACCGTAAATAAATCCACGCAAAGTGAGAGTAATGGATTCATTTGCCATATTAGTATTTGCTGTTTGAGCTTCGAGTTTTAAAAGCTGCTCAGCATATTGCGGAAAGCATTTACTTATTTTTTCTTATTTTCCTTGGTCAGTAAAAATATTTTTCTGTTGCGAAATTGTTTTCATTTAATCAAAATATTGATGTGTAGCTCGTTATGCAAGTGACGTTCAATTTGCGTTAGTTCTGAATTCACCTTCAGCATGACACTTTCAATTTAACTTTAGCCTCATCATTTATGCGAGAATGCACTTCGAGGCAACGTAATTTACAGCTGATTGTAAGCAACAGCAGCCTTGAACAGCTAGCTAGGGCCACATCTAACTCAATTTACAGCTTAGAATGGCTTACATATGACTTCCAATTGACACGACCATATGTAACTGATTGCAACAGGAATAACAACATATGTCGCGATGCAGTCGCAGCTGTTTATTATGCATGTTTGATCCAAGAATTCCCTAAGGCAGTGCCACTTTGAATGCCTCTCAATTACTTGGGTACTCGCTACGGGTGCAGGTGCCTTTGAATGCAATTGAATTAGCGTTGATTTGAGGGCAAGGTATGGCACAGATTGCCAAAGCATGCCACAGTATAAATAGCAATTGTCCTGCGCATTTACATTTAATTGTTGGCTATGTATAGATAAATTGACTTGGCTCAATTAACAGACACTTACACAGGCAATAAAAAGTGCATGGAAACTGGAGCAAGCCGTCTGTCCGACCTAAGCTCAAATTAACTTAAAATGGTTTGCTGCTAAAAACCATTCCACAACTTGTGGAATTGTTCTTCTTCTGTCAAACGACATAAAATTCATCGGCATACGCTGCGTATGCCTTATATTCTCAGTAGCTAGACTCTCGCCCAGTAGAATTAAACTTGAAGTCATTTAATTGCATTTTATGCATGCTAACTTCGTTATCTACTGCAGCTTTCATAATTCAATATGCTAGTAACTCATAGCGGCTCTTAGTAGAATGCCAGATGCACTCTGTGTGAGAGTGAAGAGTTAAAACCTAATAAAACACAATTATCTTGCAGCCCTCTTATATGACAATAAACCTTAATGTATCTTCTAAACAGAAGGTAAACAAATATTATTAAATGAAGGTCATGTGTTGCTCAATGTCATGTAAAAGACATATGGACAATATGGCACAAACATATAAATAAAATGAACTAACCAGGCAACGCAATACATAAAATACTTAAAATCTGTTTTTATTTTTAATTTTTATTTTGTGGAAAAATTCTGCACCAGCAAAATATAATTTACAGTTAACTTCTTTATTTTGTGTTAACTTCTATTATAATACGCAATATTCATTTAATTTTCTGGCAAGAATATGGGTAATTTTTTTAAACTTAATAGAAGCAAAAATTGTTAATATGCTAATCAAACTTATTAAATCTTTAAGCAATTTTTTCTATTTTCAATATAAAGCATTAAAATATATTAAAATGTACTATAATTGAAAACGCGCCATTCCAATTGAAAAGTTCACATTTGTTGTCAAATAATCAAAAATTTTCTAAAGATTGGCATCCCCAGTGTTGATTTAAACCAAAAGTGGTGATGATGGGGACTGATGAAAAGTTCGCATCAAAAGGCAAGCCAATCTATTGACATTTTTTTCCCAAAGGCAACAAAATAAAAATTGAACTGATTTAGCTTTGGGTTGGATTAACGCCTCGTCGCACGCGCTATTGTGCGCCAGGCTAGGCGATTAATGTCTGGCGCATTGCACAAATGTCAACATTGCCATTGCCAGTTTGCCTTTGGGGGTTTGGCCGAAATGAGCACAGTTATCCATGAAAATTAAAGCCACACGGTGCTGACCATAAATTGAATTTCGAATTATATGTATATAATATACTAACAGACTCATCGAAAGCGAAGCAATAAATAAATCATATGTAAAAAGTATGTTAAATAAGATAAAACAAATCAATGAAACATACAAAGCGTAAAAATTCTTAGGAATCTTTGTTGGTGTTGCTGCTAAACAGTGGGTTGGGAATTGAATAAGACTATTTGGAGGACTTTGCGATCAGTTGTGGTTCAGTTTAATAATTTATGTTCTCGTATGAATGTGGTGTGTATTGTATTTATACAAAATTTTACATTTTTTAAAATTATATATAATAAAATATATATATAAATATTTATTATTAAAATAACACGTGTTACATGATTTGTTTTACTTCAACATTTATTGAACAGGTGAAAATCATTGCAATACACAGCAATGTTACACAATATACCCATTTAATCGAAGCTAAGAACTTCATACGATAGATAAATCCAAATCATTGGCAACATGTATGGGCTGCTGTTGGAGAATCTATCGGAGTATATCAAGTCCGTCTACGGCGAGGAGAAATGGGAGGATATCAGACGTCAGGCGGGCATCGATGCGCCATCATTTAGTGTGCATCAGGTGTATCCCGAGAATCTGCTGCAAAAGCTGGCCAAGAAGTCTCAAACGGTGAGTGAAATTTCGTTTCTGAATAAATAAATATGATTGTATGCTTCTTCTTCTTCTTAATTTTAACAGGTGCTGGGCGTCTCGGAACGTGAGTTTATGGATCGCTTGGGGGTCTACTTTGTTGGCTTTGTGGGTCAGTATGGCTACGATCGCGTCCTCTCTGTACTGGGTCGGCATATGCGTGATTTTCTGAACGGTCTGGATAATCTGCATGAGTATCTGAAGTTCTCATATCCCCGTATGCGTGCCCCCAGTTTCATTTGTGAGAACGAGACGAAGCAGGGCCTGACGCTGCACTATCGGTCCAAGAGGCGTGGCTTTGTGTACTACACAATGGGACAGATACGTGAGGTGGCACGCTACTTCTATCACAAGGAGATGCACATTGAGCTGGTACGCGAGGAGATTCTATTCGATACTGTGCACGTGACCTTTCAGCTGACATTCGATAACCGTGCCTTCACCCTCGCCTCGCTGGCCATGACACGTGAGGAGAAACATTTGCCCATCAGTGCGCACGTCCTATTCGAAATATTCCCATTTTGCATAGTGTTTGGGTAAGCGAGTGAACATTATTAATGCCTTAATGCCTGGGGCCTTAGTTACATCTGCCCTCCCTTATTTGCAGTGCTGATATGGTGGTGCGGAGCATTGGCAACTCTTTGATGGTCATATTGCCGGAGCTATTAGGCAAGAGGATAACAGCCTGGTTTGATTTGGTGCGCCCGCTAATTGCATTCAAGTTTCAAACTGTACGTGCTCTGTTCTTGATTTGACATGTTCTTGTATTTTGTATAATTATGTTTTACTAATGAAATCTATGCATTAGATACTTAATCGTACCAACAACATATTCGAGCTGGTCACCGTCGATCCGGTAACAGAGCGTATTGATGCACAAAATGAGGACTTGCTGCTGCACGACGATGGCAGCGAACCGGAGAAGTCCCTCAGGTTGAAAGGTAAAATATAACATTTCAAATGCAACAATATATCAATTATTCGAACAATGCTAGATTACATTTTATTATATTGTATTTACATTTCAATCAATTATTGTTTAGGTCAAATGGTATACATGGAAAACTGGCGCATGATCATGTTCCTGGGCACTCCAGTTATGCCCGATTTGACGTCACTGATCACAACTGGTCTCTACATCAACGATCTGTCCATGCACGATTTTAGCAGAGATCTCATGCTGGCGGGCACACAACAATCCGTGGAGCTGAAACTTGCGCTGGATCAGGAGCAACAAAAATCAAAGAAACTCGAGGAGTCTATGCGTAAGCTAGACGAGGAAATGAGACGCACTGATGAGCTCCTGTATCAGATGATACCCAAGCAGGTTGCGGACCGTTTGAGACGCGGAGAAAATCCAATAGACACCTGTGAGGTGGGTGTTAAATTTGAAAAGTCATCTGTCATATACATCTGTCTAATGTATATTTTCTGCAATTACCTCACAGATGTTCGACAGTGTCTCAATTTTATTTTCGGACATTGTCACGTTTACTGAGATTTGTAGTAGAATTACCCCAATGGAGGTGGTATCCATGCTGAATGCAATGTACTCCATATTTGATACACTCACCGAGCGAAATTCCGTCTATAAAGTGGAAACAATTGGCGATGCCTACATGGTGGTGGCTGGCGCACCCGACAAGGATGCGAATCATGCCGAGAGAGTCTGTGATATGGCGCTGGATATGATTGATGCCATAACCGATTTAAAAGATCCCTCCACGGGACAACATTTGCGAATGCGTAAGTCAGAAATTTAAAATTTATAATTCATATAATAATGAATCGCTCCTAACTGTGAACAAAAACCATATATATTAAAAAAAATTAAATTAAATTATTTTTGGGGCAGGTGTCGGCGTTCATTCGGGCGCGGTTGTTGCTGGCATTGTGGGTCTGAAGATGCCGCGTTATTGCCTGTTTGGCGATAGCGTAAATACCGCCTCCAGAATGGAGTCCACTAGCATTGCCATGAAAGTGCACATATCTGAGTCGACTAAGGTGCTAATTGGACCCAACTATCGAATAATCGAGCGTGGCGAGATCGACGTCAAGGGCAAAGGCACCATGAAGACCTACTGGTTGGAGGAGCGTGAGAATCGCTTGCCACTGCAGCTAACAGGCAGTCTGCATCCTATGTCCGCTGGACCGACGCTGACACCCATGCCAAAGGCCACTTTACCAACGCCCAAGTCACAACCGCCCACAGCACCATCAACAGCGGAGCAGCCAACGCCGCCGGCGGCCATGTCGGGTGTGGTGCTTGGTGCCAGTGGTGCCCTGGTTGCGGCAACGACATTGGCACATCATGCACCTGGAGCACTTGCTGTAACAACTGCATCTGCCGCGTCAGCCAGCGATGAGCGCAACAGTCGCATCTATTCGCCGGTTACCTTCAAGGATGTGGCACGGCGGAGTATCGCGAACTCGCCAGTGCGCAGCGGCGCTGGTGGTGGCCCATATTTAGAGCAAAATAGACGACGAGAATCGCGCTCCAATTCCACTGGACACGTTTTTATGCGCTCGCCCAGCGACATCTTCGGTTCGCTCATTCTGGACACTGAGGAGTTTTTGGAGGACTTGCAAATCTCGCGCGGTTCGTTGGTGAACAGCAGCAGCGCCAACAATAATCGGGAATCACCTTCCGAGTTTAGTCCAACCTTTCGCATTGGCAGTGCTCCGCACAAGCCCCGTGTCAGTAATCCTGACCAGTTTACGCCCGAGGAACTGGCCGCTATGGATCAGATGACGCCACCAGCAACGGCACCGCCACGCGAGACATCAACCTGCAGCAGCGCCAGCTTGAAAGCATCCATATCGAATGTCTCACTCGATCGGGATAAATCCCTCAAGTCGAAGTAAGTCCTGAGTTTGGGTTCGACTGCTATTTCCATTATCTCCGCTCTAATTAGAAAAATCACTTTCTCTACCAGCACCACGCTGGAGGCCGTTAATACACCACCCAAGCCACCAGTCGCCGCAATCGCAACAACGTCCAAGGTGGCCAGTGCGACTCTAGCTGCTGTGCCGGCTCCTCGCGTCTGTCCCATGAGCACAGCACCAGCCGTGGTGCAGGCGAACAGCAGCACTAGCCGACCCGGCACTAACGATTCCATGACATCCGTTTCATTGCATTCACCTCCGCCGCATCGAACAAGCTCGGCGCCTGCCAGGTCAGAACTAATCCTAAAACTGCAAACTGCAACTGCAGAAATGAACCAACTTTGTGTACCATATTTTATATGCATAATCTAATCTTATGATAATCTCACTTACTTTAGACCCCATTCCATGTCAAAGGCGGCACGCAAGGCCTTTCTGGCCGCCAAGCAAACAAAGGCCATGGAGAAGCTGGACAAGATGATAGAAGAAGCGCATGACATGGAATCGCAATCGGCAGTCAAGGCAGCTAATATGCGTCTGGCTGTATTCGGAGATGATGGTGGTGGTGGCGGCGATGATCTGGCAGCAGGTGGTTGCCCGCTATTTTTGCCACCACCAGCCCCACAGGCAGTCAGCCGTGCCATGCCCAGCTCCATATCCGATTCGAGCATTTGTAATCATGGGTAAGAATCGACTCAACATAATCAGAGTTCATTTTAGCAACTAAGACAATTTCCATAGGCACAGTCATGCGCCCAGCTGCCATTATGCTCTGCACGATCCCAAGATGAGCAATAGCCAGAGTTTCCAGCATACGCGCAGCTCCGGCCCTATAACACATCAATGCTGCAGCGGCTTTGGACACGGCAATGGACGACACTCGCATCGCATGCACTCGAACGCTTGCAGCATACTGTAGAGATCGCAATATGCACCCAAAACGGGCATGATTAATTAATTGAATGCCTAACCAAGTCATATCGCCTATATCTCAATATTCCGCGCGCGCTTGTTATTAGACTGTAGCTCAGCAATTATTAGATCTTAAATTGTAGTTAGTTGTTGATCTGATGTATATGTAGTATGTGCAACTGTATAGTTTTAGGTGTATAGCTGTAGCTAGTTGAAAGGCTTTACCGTTGTTGGCATTGTTAATGCCAATGTCTATAAAAATCAAAAAATACAAACTGTATAACCTGTTATATTTCAAATAGTTATACTATATATCTGCATATATGTTTGTAAATGTACCTAGTTTAATGTTAAACGCAAGATACAAATTTCTTGACCTCTCAAAACTACAATGACAATACGAAGGAAATTAAATAAACGGACAAAATTATAAATCAAATTTTGAAAATTAGGGCATCACACATCCTGATACCACCTGAAGTATATATGTAGACATAGATGTGCTCAAATACACTGTATACTACTTATTTATGTATGTTTATGTACTTATAATATCAATATAATATATACTTCACATAGCAAAAGCATTAAACATCTCAAAATACTTAATTATTTTTGTAAAATGCGAATGAAATGTCGGCACCAGTACAAGCAACAATTTTGAAAAGTTTATAGCTGAAACATTGGCGCAGCCACAAGTTTCACTTTCAAATAAATATATATATATATATATAGGATAAAAGAGAGCTAGGTCGAAGTGAGCGCAACGCTAATCGTATTAGAAAAATTGTCTAAATTTTGTCTTATTTAACTTTAGTTGGTATTCAGGCTTTAGCGAGATAATTGAAAGCATAGAAACTTTTAACATTTTTTTGATAATTTCGAATCTATATAATTCAATCGAATGCCTTCTTATATTTTATAGTAAACTTGAAAATCGCCTCAACTTAATTTTTAAAAACAAAAGTTTCTATAGCTGTTGAATTCTATGACATTGAGATAACTTAATTGTTGAGTATAAAATGTAAACTGTTTAAATAAAATGGTTTTTGTTTTTGTGGAACTTACATAAATGCATTTGTATTTTTGTGCTCATCATAATTAATTTGCCTAAAGTATTTTGAAAAAACCGAGAGATCATAATATAGATTATACATATTATACATTACATTACCTATTACATTTGTTGGGTCTGTATTTTGTTTTCTGGTTCTAAATTGCACTTTAGCATATCACATCGGAAATAATTGCAAGCATAAGGCAAACAAAAAGAATAAACTAAAGATTAAAATATATATATATATATCTATGTATATAGTGTGTATGTGTAAAAACCACATGTTAAGCGTAGCAATTTAATCTTCAAAGGTGACTAGATTTTTGGTTGGATTCTTGGTGGGATAAATCAAACACAGTCGGTAAGTGTTGGCTGTATCGCCTCCTCGTTGGAGTAGATGAGCGTACCATCCAGCGTCTCGATGGTCTGTATGGTGGTCTTGCAGTAGAAGCACAGTTTGGAGTTCATCATGTGCTGCATGATGCAGTCACTGCAAGACTGATGTTTGCAGGGCGTAAAAACGGCAGTGATTGGCTTGGCACAGCAAATGGGACACAACGAGTCCTCCGATGGCAGCGTTATGTCTGAGAGAAGGGCCTGTTTGATGCGTAAATTTTCGATCAAATGACGCACATCTTCGATTTCCTCAAGGGACACATGCGTTGGATCTGTGTAAGACAATGGACTTACTAATATTGAAAATAATGTAAATCATCCAATTAACTCACAATCGATCAGTGCAAATTTAATGATGGGCGGATCAGCGCGTATGCGCTTGGAATTGTTGAGATGCGGCACGCGCACATCATTGGTCAGTGGATCAATGTGCGGTCGGGACGACGGATCAAAATTGCCCCGTGGTATCTCTTTCTGCTCCAGCAGCGGTGTGCGTACCTCGCCCAGTGCAAACTCCAGCGTGGCAAACTGAAAACTGGGATCGGTGAGAAATGCACGCGATATACGCGTCACCTTCTGCGGCGTGATATCATGCTCGACTTCGTTGCGAAGCAATGCCATCAATATGCCTAGTGCCGCAGAGATGATGGGAAAATGGGTAACGGCATTCAGATCCGCGGAACACATATCAACCACAAACTGAAAGCAGCCCGGCGGCACTGTGACGCGTGACAGCACCTGACTGATCAGCTGGCAAATGCGATTCAAAATCAGGTCGCTATTTCCACGCGACTCATCGCCGACAACATCAGGTGCAACAGTTATGATCATTTCCAGGCAACGCATCAGCGAAACAGTTAGCTCAAAGCACATCGAGCAGATCTTCAGCTGCTTTGGCTCAAACAGCGTATTCTCCTGACGTTGAGCCGTGTTTTGTATCTGAGAACAAAGATATAAAGAGAAAATGTAAATTATGGAAACACTGTGTCAGTTGGTGCAACTCACCTCCTGCAGCAGCAGTATAAACTCTGAAAATGCCCAATTTAACTGACTCAGCACGGAGTTGAGGAACGTGGTCGCTAATGGTTCGTCTTCGTACAGCTTGGTGCCAATCAAGCGCTGAAAATGCTTGGACGGATTGGCGGGCGCCACATTGTGCAGTAGTCCCGTGTGCGTCTCATTTCTCGAGCGACTGCGACACAAGCCATGGTGCAACGGCTGTGATCCACCTTGCCACACACTCGGCTGGCGTGCATCCTTAAATGCAAAGCCCTCGCCCAGCCAGAAGCGCAACAGCAGCCAATTGCTTTGGCCCCAAGCACGATTCTCATAGGGTCGCAGTAGTGCCCGCACCAACGCCGTCTGAGCGCGCTTCGAGGAACGCTCTAGCGCACGCACTCCGGATTTGTGGCAGGTAAGAGTACCCAGAGCCTGCAAAAGCGAATCTTTGCAGGAGGCAAGCACAATACGCGAATCCGCCGAATGCATGGCTAGAAACTCGGCGGCAGCATTAATGCCACACTCCGCATCTCCAATGTCGAACTGAGCGCGCATATCGTGATGACTAAAGTCCATCACAGTGTCCAGCAAAATGGGCGTCGTATTTATGTAGATTTCGGGTACAAATGCAAAAAGTGGACCGGAACCAGAGGCACTCTGTAAATATTCCGAATATTAGTTTGTATTTACGATATTCATGTCAACTTTTGCTTACCGTTAATGAGCGTAGAATGCGCTCCATCAGCCATATCAACAAGGATCGGCGGTGCGTATTCAAGGCGACAGCACGCAGCCAGACTTGTTTTCTCGCCAGCGATATGGAACGTGTCTGCGGACCGTAAATTATGTTAAAAGGAGTCGAGCAGTATTTATATATTATACTCTTTTAGGATATTAGGATTTAGTCTATTATTTTTTGTCAGTAATGAAATAATATTCAAATATTAAATTATAACAATTAAATTGAATTGTTCAAAATGATTTACTAATCTATTTCAACCATGATTATAATTAATTGCCAAAAGTTAACAAAAGTGTATTTTATTTAAGCCACTAAATATTGATAAACTAGTCTATCAAACTATTAAGATCTCAATATTACATCAATAATAATAATGTTATCAAGTTGAACATGAATTTCACTCACCGCAAAAACATTTTGTCGCTGACTGAACTTGGTACGCAATTCGGACATGATATGCTGATGATTATCATTCATGCAGACATTCGCATGCTGTTCGAGAGTCAACAGTTTGCGTTCGATGTCCTCGCGATAGTATTTCGTCTCCTTGAGCACCTCATTGAGCATGGCGATCTCATCCCGCACCGATGCAATTTTCACTATATACTTGTGCCCGGCCGAGTAGTAAAACAGTACACAAATATCCAACAGTTCGCAGACACTTGACTCCATGCTGGAGTTGCCTGGGGCTGTGTCGGGATTTTGTGGCATGCGCGGATTGAGGAAGTGTGTAAAGGTTGAGTTGTTAGCGCCTTGAGTGTGTCCAACCACGGCTACATTGTTAATGTTCTCGCCCAGCAGGTATAGTGTGGTATCTGGAAGCGATGTAACTAAAACAATTAAACGAACGTAAACAGTTTTGTTATTACGCATACTCACCCACTTCACTTACGCGTACGGAATTATGGTCCTCATCGTAGATTGCCTGGGTACGCTCTGCACCCAAATACGCATCGATGTCACCTCTGTGCACCTTGCGCAGATGCGACAAGACTCCGCCAACGCGATCAAAATGCATATAATCAAAAGTGCCATCCAGAAAGTAATCAATGCCCACTTCCATTATATGACTCGGTAGTTCATCCTTGAACAGCGATCGCACCTGATCGATGAGTATGGAAACAAAGGCAAGCGCCACTGACGAGTCCAACGGATGCTGTATGCTGGACTGCATAAAGAAAAAGGCATGAAAGGGCTGCAAAACAAAAAATAATTGATTAATACAACTATAATTTTTCTGTTAATCGCAATCACTAACTCGCTGCTCCATGCTCAGATCCATGACATAGCGTCGCATTTTGTTGAGGAACAGCTTGCGAGTGGAGGGTGTCTCCGCGTTGCCATCTGAGTTTATCATCAGCGTGTTCAGAAAGTCCTTTTCAGCTGCATACAACGATTCTGTGCTCTTGCGCACTTTTTCAACAACATTCGCATATTTATCCTTGGGTCCGTCAATGCCCTCTGTCCAGGCCATGTGATCGGGTAGCAGCTCCTCCATTATATAAAACTCCAACGGACTGATGTACAAAAAGAAGGCCAGGCTAAAAAGCAGTTTAAAACAAACAGTTAATTAATGATCCTTTAAATTCGTTTACTCCATTTATATATGCACATCAGACAAACCGATGATCTCAGCTTACCAGTGCTTTTTGAACAGTTTGCTATCGAGCAGATACTTGCGCGTCTGCTCGTGCAAACAGAGACAGTGGAGTACGTTCAACACATGCCGATGCTTTGAATAGTCCATGCCCTGAACTGTGTGCGTGTATGTGGCCAATAGAGCATTGACCATCTTGCGTAGTACAAACTTTATTTCATCATCCTCCATGAAGTTCCAGAACAATGACAACAGACCATTTAGGACGCTATGCGGGTTTTCCTTCTCTGCGGACAGTGTTGTCATACTTGCGATGCGCGCCAGCAACACATCCTCGATGATATACGGATCGAAGACCCCATTCGTAAAGCGTTCAATGAGCAACGTTGCAAATATGCAGTAAACTGTCTTCTTCGTCGATACACGCACTTCGCCAGCCATTTGGGTGCTCGATCTGGTCTGTGCGTTATAGTGCGAGAATATGCCCGCCAGATTGATCAGATAGTCCATGAGTAGGTTGGCGCGACGCAGCTTGAGGATGGGACGTGCCATCAGAGGCTGATATCCAACCAGCGGATATACGAATGGACGATTGCCAAAATTGGCCTGCACGCCCTGGGTGTAGCCTAGCGAGATGGATGGAAAAAATGTGATGCCCGGTCCCTTCTGTATCTTCTCAAAGGCAATGCCCATGGAGCGTCCATTGCGATAGAATTCAATAATCTCGCGGTCCACATCGATGGTGACGCCGATGATATCACCAATTTGCCACTTGTCGCCGTATCTGTAATCGATTGAAAGTTGTTACTTCCAGATATTAAAACAACAATTTTGTTTCTATAGCCAAAAACTAGACTTTTTGCGGCCTAAGTTTTTTCTTAATGTAAAAATTGTTGCACTTACTTTCTGGTGGAGATGTGCCAGACCTGTTGCTTGCTGCCATCATAGCCGTAGCTATAGCTGGTGTCGCCCACGCCGCTGTTCTCATTGAAACTACAATTGCCCGAAGACCAGCCGATTTGCATGACCCCCTTGGTGTGCAGTTGAATCTAATTAAGGAGGAGAAGGAGGAATAAGAGCAAAAGCAAAGGTCATTAGTTGTTTTTGTTCTTTTTCTTCACGATAACATGACGCGCACGTGCAACTCACACTCCCCAAATAAACCGTTTCAGATAGTTCAATGTCATTGACCGTTGGCCAAGCAACCACCAAACGAAACGAAACCAAACCAAACACAACCAACCACCCAACTCAACCCCAACCCTTTCCAGCGATGATTACCTCATACATCCAACGACCTCCATAGACGCAACAATTTGCGCGCACCGTGTTGAAGCTGCCTTGGGAGCGCAGAGTCAGCCTATCTGTGGACACTCGCACCGTTGTCGTATAGTCCACATCGAAGATGGCCAGATCGGGTCCGATTCGCGCCTCCGTCTCAATGTAGAGTTTGCGTATCTCCTCATTGCTGTCCGTTTGTATCTGCTGGAATTTGTCATCCAGCCAGTTCCTCACAATGGCCATTTGTCTGCAAGGGATTTAAGATGTTCTTGTTGTTAAGGTGGTTCGCCGCAATGGTTCATATTACGCACTTTGTAACGGAGAGTTCGCTGATCTTTGGTGCCCGGGAATCCGGCACCGTGGAGCAATTGGCTCCCTCCAAATCATCTTCCAAGTCGGAGTTATCCTGGTCTAGGTGCTCAAAAATGTCTTCATTAAATACTTTCACAAATAATTTGGATATTGACATCTTGGCACGACTCGTTAGTAATACATCGCTTGCTTTATACACACGTACATAAAAATCTATTTACATTTTTTCTCTTTCGATTTTTAATCTAAATTTGATTTAAAAATAATAAACTAGAAATGAAGTGTGACCGTATCTAGGGTTTTGCAGAAATACCAAAATTACTATACAGCAGTGCTGACAATTTAGCCTTGTTTCGAACATCTGTACTTTTCTTGCAAATTTTATAATATTGTTATTATCAATTCATAAAAACTTCTCATATTCCAGCTGGGTATATAATTATTTATTATTTGATTTTTAATTAATATTAATTTTGTAACAAAAGAATTTAGCCTCATAAATTCAAGGTTTATCTTGTTTACTGCTCGTTCTTGGTAATCGATATAGTGGCAGCACTGCTCAAAATCAGTCAGCTGATGTCTAACAAATTATCGATGATTGAGCGACAGTAATTCACATTTGTTGACGCGTCACATTTCTGATTGGGATTAAATTGAACATAATCGAATTAATTAAAATAAAATAAATATGAGCAGCGACTGGGATGAGATTAAACGCTTGGCCGCCGATTTCCAAAAGGCGCAGCTGACATCCACGTTGCAAAAGTGAGTACATAGCTGTTAATAATGTTGATTAAACAGCTGTCTCAAATAATTAACGGCTTCCATTTTTCTCAAAGGCTCTCTGAACGGAATTGCATTGAAATCGTTACTCTGTTGCTGGAGAAGCAACTGCTGGATGTGGTTTTCACCAACGATGGCAAAGAGTATATTACCCCCGAGCATTTGGAGCGCGAAATCCAAGATGAGCTGTATGCCAACGGGGGGCGAGCGAATCTGGTGGAGGTCAGCAAAACATTGAATGTGGATCTGTCGAGGATTGAGAAGCTGGCGGAACGTATTGCAGCTGATGATCCGCAGATACATCTAATGCTGGGGCAGCTCATCGATGAGGAGTACATCACGCACATTGCGCAGGAGATAAATGAGAAATTGTCGCAACGTGGCGAAATTTCCATTTCCGACCTGACGTCACAATTTGATTTGCCGTCGGACTTTCTGCAGCACCAGGTGGTGGAGAAGCATTTGGGCAAGCTGATCAAGGGACGGCAGGATGCCAGCAATCCACGCGTCTTCTTCACCCAGGCCTACATTCAGCGCTGCAAGGCGAAAATCCGTGGTGCTCTGGCGGCCATCACGAAACCGACTAATGTGTCCGTCATCTTGCAGCAGATAAGTGTGCAAGAGAAGATCTTTCACTCGCTGCTGGACGAAATTAATCCGGCTGGACATGTGACCTCCAAGCAGGCGAACGCTCAATATGTGCCACACATCTATGCCAAGACTCAGGCCGATTGGGTGAACTCCTTCTACAAGCAGAATAGCTTCCTGGAATACGATGCCATTAACAAGCTGGGCATCTCTGATGCCAAGTCATACATACGTAAACAGTTTCCCAACGAGGAGTTCCTCTTCCTCAAGCGTGTTGCGTTGGGCGCTCGTCTCATCGAACTGACTGTGGTGGCATCGTTAAATGAGTGCAGTGCCACTAAACAATATCTAGACTTATCTACTATTCTACCATCCAATTTGTCGGAGGAGGACATTGAGGAGGCCTTCAACGCTGTCATGGCTCAAAAACACTGCAATCCTAGTCAGTTTGTGTATCTGGAGAGCATAGGTAAATGATTTATTTATATAAAAGATTGTAATTATTTTATATACCTTGTGTAACAGGCTGAGGGAAATAATTCCAATCTACTAATCTCAATCCATTTATCTGTTTGAGAGTTCCCATCTTTGATTCCAAATGAGGTGGCATAAATACTCACAAGCCTCTGCTGTAGTCTTTTCCCAGGCATATCTCACACAATTGGTGCAACCCTGTCAGGAAATGGCTCAGTCACTGGCCAAAACAGCCATCGACAATGGAGTCTATCAGCAATATATTGTAGAGAAAACTCTCGCGCAGAAGGCTGGCAACACTCTGGGCACCACGCACGATGCTGACGAGGACAGCAAGCTGGACAAACGGGACGAGCGACGCAAAAAGGCTACCTCTGGCAAAGCGGGTGGCGGTTCTCAGGGACGCGAAACGAAAACGAAGTCAACCAAGAAGCATCAACGCGGCCGTGCGGCCCACAATCATGACAGCGATGATGAGGAGGACGCAGTGCAGCAGTCTGCCAACAGCTCGCGGAAATCCGTAAAATCGCTGGAGCTGGTTAAAATTTCGGACATTACAAATCTAATCAAAGGCACGCTAGAAGAGGAGGGACTAGAGCATCTGGCCAAACCCGTTGCGTCGCTCTACTTAAAGTAAATTGTTTATTAATTCAGATCATAAAACTCTTATCTCATTGATTTTGCTCTCCAACTAAAGCCAATTAAATCAGATGGCGCTGGCTAAGGCCCAGGAGCTGTATGAGGCAGCGCCTCAAACGAATCGGCGACAAACGCATGCTGCGATTCAAGAGCGCGTGAACACGCTGCTCGTGGACATCCGTCTGTACGAGAAGGGTCTGAAGTTGTTCAATGGCGATACACAAACGCAGCTGGTCAAATATCTGCTAAAATCCCTGGGCAATGACATTTGCAACGAACTCACGCTTTATGTGGCAGCCGAGTGCAGTCTGATGGTGAAGTCCACGAATCTGAATGTCGATCAACGCGTCAAACTGGTGCAAGAGTGCGGTAAGTCCTGCCCATCCTCTCCAGATATGCATTTAATAATCCATATGTATATATATGGATATATTAAATATATCTGTTAAATCCCTTAACAGATGCACAATATCGCAACGCGTTACTGGAACAAAACAAGGCCCTGAACAAAAGCATCGAGGAGTTTGAGGTGGCCACGGAGGCAGTGCTCAAAGCCTGCAGCATGATTATCAAGAAGGTTGACAAGAAAAAGGATCGCCAACTGATTGTCGGCCACAAGGAGAAGCTGCTGCAACAGCTGCTGGAGTGCCAGGAGCCGGCGCTCTTACTTCATCTGGCGGCTCTGATACTCTTCACGACCATCACTGGCTGCATCCTACATGCATCGGGCAAATTTGTGTCTTCCATATTGCAGCATATTCGTAGCACGCTAAATGAACCGCAAAATGCGCTTCTCCTGCGTTATCATGGTATGATTGTAGCACTTTAAAACGTTAAAGTATATTGTTAACTAAATTTATATGTATATTTGCGTAGATCTTGTGTTGCAAGTGCTGCAGCAAACATCACCTGATAGCGCCGAATCCAAGTCTGTCAACGAACAACTGCAAGCGCTGCAAGGCGAAGTTATGGATCTGGCCCAAAACTATTCACGTGCCTCCGTCTCCAAGGCTGACTAAGCTACACTTAAGCAACAGTTGAGCTTCCAAATAACACTAAAAACTGTTTTGATTAAGATGTTAATATTTGAGATTTGAAAACAGTCCAGCTAAGCGCTCTCTTTAAGCTCACTTTTAAATTGGTTATGGTCTGCACTAAAAGTAAAAGTAAAATATAAATATATTCTGGAATTGTTAATGTATTCTGTACATAATTTAAAAAATTGTTTTTATTATTGCTATGCACGCAAGTCTCCTAATTACAATCAATAAAGTTATATAAAAGAGTGTCTGAATTTGTATCACTTTTTAGATATAGGTTTTCAAGTATGTAGTACTTATCTACGAAAGACGATCGAAACAGGATTGTGTCCCCATCGAGACGAGTAATATTAAAGACTAAAGACGCTTTTTAAATTGCATTTCGGTTGTCTTCGCTTTCGATCAACAAACAAATCAAATAATCAAAATATTACAATTATCATAGGCGAAGTATATACAGTATTCGTTTTTAGATTTATAAAGACATATTCTCGAATAGTTTTTGACAGCATTTTGAGCAACGATTTATGGAACACCCAATTATTAAGGACTTTAGTTATTGCTAATTTAACCATCGGGAGAGTATTTGATTGTTGTTGATATTTCAAAAGCAGAAACCCATCATTGAGCTACGATTAAATTGTGTTAAAGATTTGTTTGGTATTTTTGTAGGTTCTTCGCACTTTATAAGCTATGTAGTCTTTGTAGTATCTGCTTGGCCTTGTCACAGGATTGCCTATGGAAAGAAATATGTATATATATATATGAATGTAATTTCGATTTTAAAATCCTCGTTTTATATACGTACATAAATAGTGGATTGTTTGCATCGCAGTTTTCCAGTGTTTGACGAATGTAACTAATAAATAGCTCAAGGTTCTTCAACGTGTCACTGTTGGGCAGCAACCAAACTGTTGGCAGGGTATTTACAATAATATAGGCCTTATTTATTGCATCATTTGGCGTGCAGACGCGCATGGCCAGCAGCAAATAGCGATTAAGCAGCGCTCCAATGGCCAGCTCCCTCAGCGGCTTATCCGCCAGAATACCCTGCCAACTGAGAAAATTGCGAAATAGTTTCAGACCACTGCAAAACTGACGCTGGAAGAACGAGCCTTTGGCTTCCTGCACCCTAAAGTACACAAAACAACTCTGTTATTATCAATGTCGTTGCAAATGATTGACTTTTACTTACTGCTTGGGAAAGATGGGTATAAACACATCATTTTCGAGAGCGAGACGCATTCGTTCCAAAATGGACTCAAAGAGCTTTTTCAATTGCTTGTTGCTGCTGTTGAGTGGAAATTCGCGACCCAAGCGATTGATGAAACCCACCAGACGCAACGTTTGTGTGGTGGATAGTGGATCCCAGCATTCTGTGACCAAGGCTGAAAGTAAGTAATAACAATATGGAATGAACATAAAGTTGCTTTAAATATATCAAAGTCAACTTACCGTTTACTTTGGGCAGCACAATTTTTTCCATAAGCGAGGGCACCAGATTAAAATCGGGATCCTGTTTCAGGCGATCCACGGTCTCATCTGGCTGACAGGCATACAACATGCACGCTTGATACCAGTGCATTGTCTCAATGTCTGTGTACTCCTCGAGCAGCGGGGACCAGAGCAACAGCTCGTGACGCACCAGCGGTGCCAACAGTTTGGGCAGACAGAGGCTAACAAACGCATCCTGATAAGAGCTCATATCCGTTTTGCGCCAGGCATAGAATTTCACAAGTATTAGATCAACTTTGCAAAAATCATCAGTGACATCATCGAAAGCCTCCGCTGCTTGGGTTTCGATTAGCCCCGTGGACGCCAGGCACTGCTCCTGCTGCTGATCGGCAATCTCATCGTCACTGGACATGCCATCCAAATGGGAGGCAAGCATATCGTTGCGTTCACGCTCGCAGCGTCGACGCGTTCGACGACCTTCACGCTCGGCGGCACGACGTACTTGCTCCTCGTATTCCGGGGTTCGACGTACTGCAGCTGACACGGGCTCTGTTAAATGACAGCAAATATGAATACAAATAAATAATTGTTTAGAGCTTTAGTTGACTTACTTGACGCCTCGGACATTTCTTTGGCCTGATCGCGAACATCCTGCCGCCGCCGATTCACCAGATAACGCTGATTCTTGCCATATAGCTGCATGGTACGCTTCTCCAGCTCATTGATGAGCGGCGACTTGGCGGCCAGGCAATCGACCAAATCGTTGACATAACACTTGACCTCCTGATAGAATTTGTACTTGGCTGCCGCTGTGGGCGCATTCTGTTGACACTCAAACTGCTTCAATTTCAGTGACTTCAACTCGGCTGCAATGCGCGCAATCCTGGAATTGTGTTCCTCGTTCCGCTCCCGCAGTTCTGTGAGACGCGCCAAAATGCCAGCGCGCATCTCCTGCGGCGTGCGCAATGACGTCGGCTTGGCCTTCTCCTTTTTAGGCTTGACGTAGCTCGAGCGCAGCACGGATGCCATTGCGCTGTTTTTGTCAATGGCGGCAGTCTTGGCATACGCCTGCTCCAGCAGCGTTGCCGTTGAGGGCGGCGCCTGTCGCTCAAGATCTTCCAGTTGCATGGCGCCCTCGCCGTTGACCGCTGCCGGTTTGATCATGAAGCGGGAGAGCACAGTTTCATGCTGAGCATGCACCAGTTGGGCGCCCGTAACGCCCTTGCGTATCTGCTGATTCTCCCACTCGTGCATCTCGCGATCGGAATCTTCCTCGGTTACTAAAGTGCAAAATTCAAATTCAAAATATTAGTCAAATTTCCAACAACCAAAACTGAAGTGCTACAAAAATGTGACGTGCAGTTGCCGTCTGTCTGGTCTGGGACATACACACAACGTAATAGCTATTTAGCTAGACAACTATATTACTACATACAATCATTCTCAACGGCATAGAACTGTTCGCGACGCTCTTCACGCTCCTTGCGACCCGTTATGTCGCTCATATCCACGCGCTCCTCATCGTCCGATTGATCGCCCTCGACATCTTCACGCGCCAATCGCGTGCTCAGCTTGGGCATCTCCTTGGGCTCTTCAACGGGTATATAATCACCAGCGCCTGTAAAATATACATTTTCTAAGATTTGCCTTGGATTAACTAAGCTGTGGTCTTACCTTGTTCTCTTGCCCGCTGTCTGCGTTTGCGTGCCGCGTGTATCATGGCGGCATCTGGTATGGAACCGCTTTCAAGCATTTGCTTCAAGTGTTCGGGCTTTGAGAAACGATGCCGCGTCTTATCGTTGTCCCCATCATCCAACTGGTCCTCGTCGCTCATGTCATCGCGACCAACGCAGAGCGCGGCACGACCATTTAAAACCACTTCAGGAGTCTCCGAGTTCTTGACCACAAGCTGGTTTTGGGAGCAAGAGTAAAACAAATATTATTGTACGAATTTTTAAGCGGATTAAAGACATTTAGATACATATTGTACACAGTCCAAGATAAACACTGACTTTTGCATGAAATTCAATATTCATGTTTACAAATTTCACTTTTGTGCATTTGAATTAAATTGATTGCCAAATGAGAGTCAGCTCTGAAAGAGTAGTGCTCCAATATATAAGCAAGTTTAAATTATATTTTAAAGAATTATGATTTCTCAATCGTGTTCATCTTGAGCTGTGTACTAGCTTTAGAAAGGCAACGTGCATTGATCAGTTACAAAGCATTTAATAATAATAAGAAAGAAGAAAAATAAATAAAAAATTAACACCTATATGAACCTCCAACGTATTTACAAAAAATTGTTATAATATTTAGTTTCGGAAAAGGATGTATCTTGTGGCTGGTTGCATTGTTTCTGAAGCAATTTGTGTACGAATATCGCCAATTTTGGAAGCTAAACCATTAAGCCAAAGACATATCCAAGATTATTTTTCCCATTGGAAATTAAGACAGCTCCATATTGTTTTAATATTTTTGTAGGTAAATCGTAATATATGCTTGTTTTTTTAATTTTTTTTTTTTTTTGTAGAAAAAATTGAATAATAATAACCTTACCACAAAGTCGTCTGTGCGTATTTCGGTTTGGATCATATGATTATCACACTTTTTACTTTTACTCTGTACGCTCGCATTGTCGCTTGCTATCGACGCACATTTCATATATCTACTAGAATTGGCAGCAGCAGCGCCAGGAGCATTCGCACTGGACGACTCTAAATGCTGCGTAGTTGTTGTTGTACTACCATTCTCATAGGTGCCCGGTTGTCCGGTGGGAATGGTGCCCGTTGCATGATCCGATCGCTCCTCGCGCTTCTTCTTGCGTCGCTCCTTGTCCAGCATTCGCATAACTTTCTTGCTGTGCGAAGATTTGCGCACTTGAAACACCTCACCATCGTCCTCTGCTCAAAACGAATCGACTCGAATTAATTAATCAATATCCTCAATCTAATGCAATTCACACTCACCGTCGTCGGCAAAACTTAGTAGGGCTTTTGACTTGTGCTGCACAGCGCCAGGAGCAGCGCCAGGGGCTCCGCTTTCATCGGTTTGTCGTATCGTTTTCTTGATTTTATCTTTATCACGTTTGCCGGACATGGATATTATGGGCGGGGGTGGTGGAGGCGTTACCAACATGTCCCCATCGATGTCCATTGAGGAGGTGTCGTCGTCCTCGTCTGCATTGCTGGAGAAGACGCGCCGCTGTATTTTCTTGGGCTTGCGAAAGAGCGACATTTGCTACACTTGCTTGCCTAATAAGTTTATCGTAAATGACAATAGTTAACAATAACTAAAGGACAAATATAGCACACAAAACGTTCTCGCAAAAAAAATAGTCTTCTTTGCTTTTCTAGTCGATATCACCGGTTCGATATAAATGAAACTAATCGAATGTCGGAAAGAGTTGAAATCGCACCTATCGATAGATTTCTCATTTACTTAATAGACATAGTTAGGATATTCCCACAAACTGAGTAAAAGAGACGAAGCTATCGCAATACAAAGAAATCAATTGCGTATTGTTGATGACATTTAATAATACATACTAATATTTAATGAGTAAATAATTTAGACTCACTTATGCAGCTGTACAGCAGATTTGCTGGTAACTTATAATAAATATCAACTGGATTATATTGCAGTGTTCCCAACAAAAGCGTGATTAACAGTTTAAAAATATTTGTTATATGAAGTGCCACAAAGTAACGAAAAAGTATTTATTTTTATTATGAACTATACAAACGACAATAAATGAGCCAGTTCATAGGTGCGGCATACTGAGTCGTTCGATCGAACAAAGCTCTTGTGTTGGGCTTGGCAGAATTTTGTTAGTCTAAACAAGGTTTACTTATTTGTACGTTACAATAATACAAAAACAACAATGGGTCTCAAAGGTTGCGAAGTGTTATTGGACAATCCATGGAATACGTACTACGCTGGACAAACTGTCAATGGACAAGTCAACTTCACCTTTGACTCGACAAAAAAAGTACGAGGTAAGAGTTAAATTATATATATAAAAAATATATATTATATACATATATTTAATTGAGCTCGCATTACTCATAAAAGTGACGGCATCTACCAAGAGCAAGGCTAGTGATTTTCTATATTAAATATAGATATATTTTCATATAGTTTTTGAGACAGCGGCTTCTCTAACATTCCCCTAATAATCTCTCGGCAATAGCCGGTCTCGTTATTTATATGCGCATATTATTTTTGGATGAATCTGGTTTTATTCTGTTTGTTTATTGTTTTTCTTAAGGTATGGCCCGCATTAAATAGAACATGATATTAAAGGCAAACATTTAATAATGTCGAAAACGTTTTAAACTTAATTTTCCCTAATTATTAGCCATAATTAGCAATTCAAGTTGGATTGAGGTCAAATTCATTGCTACGCAACAGTGGCATGATGCTGCTGACGATGATGTCACCACTACGGCAGTAGTCATAGAGAGGGACAGACTTGAAGTAGCTGGTTATTTATAGCCTTTTGGCGAGAGACATGCAGAATGTGAACGACACTAAATTCTTAACAAAAAAATCAAAAACAAAAATACCTCACAACTTTTTAGTTCAATAATGCTACATTCCACGGCAATCAATTCTTATTTCAATCTTGGAATAACTTTATTTACTTAATTAAGCCATAAGCTTGTTGATATTCTTCCATTTGTTTTTAATCAGCGTTACTTATTTTTCTCGTCATTGTCTGGAGGAGTAACATAATTTAATCTTTTTTTTGCCTTATGTCCACCAAGATCGACATATCTTTGGTTGGTTCTCGAAAGTTTGCCGACACACATTTACTTATTAATCCTTATTTGCAGGCATTATCATTCGATTCTTGGGGGAAGCCAACACAGAGTGGACCGAGGAGAAAAATGTAACAACGAGCGAAAACAAGACTGAAACAGAGACCACGAATCTGACGGGACATGAGGAGTACTTTAAAATACAATATTATTTGCTGGGCGGCAAAAACAGTAAGCAATGAATTTCGCACAATCTCAGTCAATTGCTGACTGTTATTTATCTTTATTTATAGGCCCAGAAACCGAACTGCCTGCAGGCACTCACACTTATCCGTTTACATGCGCTCTGCCGCAAAATTTGCCATCCTCGTTTGAGGGTGAATTCGGACATGTGCGGTATACCATTAAAGTAACGCTTGATAGACCATGGAAATTTGATCAAAATATGAAAATGGCATTTACTGTTATTGCGCCAGTCGACTTGAATCTCAATCCGCGTGTAAAGGAACCGTCTAAGCTCGATTTGGAAAAATCATTTTGTTGCTTTTGCTGCCGCTCTGGTCCGTTGGCCGTCATCACAAGCATACCACAAACTGGCTACGTTTCGGGTCAAATGTTGCCCATCACCTGCGAGGTGGACAATGCCAGCAATGTGAATCTGACCTCTGTTAAATTTGAGCTGCGCAAACTCGTCACGTTCCGTACGAATCAGCCGCGCAGTGAGAAGCGCGAGGCAAAAGTGATAATTGCCCAGCTGAGCGTTGGACCCGTTGAGGCCGGACAATCGAATTCGTATAGGCAGCAAATTACAATACCTGCTCTGCCCCCAACCAATTTACTCAATTGCGGCATCATTTCTTTGGACTATGACTTGCACGTGGAGTGCGTTGTTAGTGGACCACATAGTAATCTCACCGGTAAAGTGCCAATTACACTTGGCACAATACCACTGGCTTCCGTACAGCCACTGTCAGATGACCCATCGCTGGCTCCAACACAGCCGGTTAGTCCAGTCAGTCCACGTGGCGGTGGTGGTGCTCTCGGCTGGAATGTTGCAGATAGTGCTGGCGGTGCACTTTATCCAAATATACGTGAGCTAAAATGCAATGCCTGTTATTTGATGACACCTATTTACTAAAACTACTTCCTGCTTTACTTACAGTGCCACCGGAGTTTGTGGAAACAGAATACCGTGCACCAATCAAAACCAAAGGCGACGACTCGGACCATACACAAATCATTGGGGGCAACACGTTTGCTCCGCGTTATCCAACCTTTCAGTTCAACAACGCTTCAGCCCCAGCAATGAGTCCCTAATTCAATCTTAGAATAACTTTAAATCCAAGTGTGCTTCAAATTTGTTTGATTCGTTTTCGCTATTCGTTGTTTATATTGCGGTTATATTATTTTTGCATATATTTGCAAGCTTTCCGTCCAAAAGGAAGCATAAACATATTCGCCAGCACAAAAATATCAATTCAATTTTGTAATCTCAATTCTGTAAGCCCCATATACTTATGTATGTGTGTGTTTGCCTTTGCGTTAGCTATATAGCACAAATGAAAAACAAAAATAATCTCGTGATAAAATATATACAGCATTGTATCTAAAATAAAATCTCATTTTAATTTTTGCATTGCTCCTCTTTTCTTCAAGCATCGTAATCTTGACTTTTAGTAATAATCACTTCAGTTGCCCTTACACTTTTGACGTCATTTATAATGAGTCTTGGCATGGATGGATTGACGAAGCAGATTTCATTTAATACATGGTTATCTGTAAATATATGCAATTTTTTTTTTCTTTTAATAAAGTTGTATTTATATTTTTTCAGTCTCAGTTTGTAACTGCGTATATGATTTAGAAGTCCAATGATACAATTTTTTGGGAAATGCGAAATGAAATAAATAAATAATAATGACATATATATACTTTATAGGCTTGTCAGCATCAATATGATACACAGTGATGGGAAATTATAATATCCTCTCAATTACCAAAACACATGTGAATTTCCTGCATTTGATTGATTTTATTAATTATGTTTAAAATTGTTCGATTTGGTTCTCATTTTGGAATTTTATGTCGATTTCTTGATTCATCTGCACTTGTATTTAAGCCTGTTCAGTCTGATTTTTTGTTGTGAGTGCTTTTATATTTCTCGGACTCAATCCTTCGTTCCTTACGTATAGCATTTGCACCTAGTCCTCGCTTAGGCAAATCCGGCGAAATATAAACATCTCCTCCTAACTCTTTTCTACTAGATTTATTAACTTTACGTCTATTATTGTGCGGTTTTTCAGAGCTACGGGCGTTGTAGGAGGTGGAGATGCCTCTACGACCCTTAAGAATTTCGTAGAGATATTCGGTGAAATTCGATGGTTTTGGGTATACTCTCTTACGTTTTATTGCCTCACGTCTGCTATCACTATTGTTATTTTTCCTTTTGGGCCATTCATCTTCAATCGATTTATTTTCAGTTTGATCTTGATTACTTATCATCAGTGGTGTTTCACTTGCAACTCGTTTGTCTCCTTCTGAAGTCGAATTATAAAGGATACCATTTTTTATATTTTTTGGAGACGATGTTGATGAATGATTTAGCTGCGCTATGACTTCGTTATTAAGTCTAACCGACGCTTGTCTTATCTGGCTTAAGATTTTACTTGCAAATTGATCTTCACCATCCAAAGTGGAATTATTAATGTCACGGACTGTTGAATTGTCTTTGTATTTGATTTGGCTTAAGGGACCTCCGTTTTCTTTCGCTTCGGTATTGGAACTCTCCACTTTCGCTTGTTGTTGACTAGTTGCTGGTATATTTTCATCTCTTAATACACAATTAGTTGGTAAGTAATCTTGAGAATTGTACATTTTATCGCACTCAAGCCTTTCGGCATACCATTCTTTGCATAGCTTTGTTAGTGCTTTTTCCATTTTTTTTAGTCTTTTAAGCTTAGCCATTTTTTGATGCCGATCTTCCTCAATATTTCCGGAATAATCTCCTTTGTTTTTTAAATTAGCCCGTTTGTTCTCATTTCCTTGCAAACGCAATTCTGGGTTGTTTTTGGTAATCGCCATCTCTTGAACTTTAAGTTTACCTTCTGAAATGGATTTGGTTTCATTTTGGTCAGATATGCGTTTCTCGCTTGAGAAATTCATTTTTGCGGAATGGAAATCTGTCTAAGCAATCGTGGGTATTTTCATAAATTTAAAAATCAATTAATTCATACTTACGTCCCTTTTTTATACTCAATGCGATCACTTGTTTGCAGAAACTACATGCTCCTAAATAGGCTTGTTTGTTCCAGCTTAAAGCATTTTGAGCAAACATTTTTAGACTAATCTAGTTTTTACAGATGATTTAGAATTGTGGCCCCGAAAAAAGTTGAATAAAATATAAACTTTACTTCATAGCTAAACAAGTTCGAAATGACAATAATTTTCTAGCATACCATATGAATACAGCCATAATCCTAATAAATTTGTCCGATTTTTATGCCATTGAGTTATTTATAAATGGATGTGTACCCACTCTTTAAATTTGATTACATGCTATTGAACATGTCGGGTTCGACAAACTTGTGTTTGTACCTGGATATTCAATGTATTACTAGATAGATTTCGCCTCCAAAAGTAAAGCCTGTTGATTTATTTATTGGCAATTTATTAAAATTGACTTGACTAGCTTGAAATTTTTTTGTAATATGTTTCAGTCGATTTATATATATTCCTTAGCATTTTAATTTCATCCAGACTGGATACCAAATTGTGCTTTGAGTGGACTTTGACTTATGTGCACAAATTCTTTGATGAGACATGAGATTTTTTGATTCTGGAAATAAAGAATATAATTCCCAAATTTGTTAGAAATTTTATATTGATGACACGTATTTAAGTTAGTGCTGACCTACGAGGTCTTATCATAGAACACTCTTAGTATATACATGTATAACTATCATTTGCATTTATATAGTAAAATAATATTAATATAGTTGCGTTTGTTCAGCTTGGTATGACGTCGGTTGCCCAGTAATTATACAATTATAATGTGGTGCACTGTTATTATAATTATCTATTTTGATTGGTGGCATCTTCTATAACTTTACAAAATCCTACCGTTTAGTAATATCCCTATTTGTACTTACACAGAATCTGGCACAATTGACGACTGGTGAAACTTTTCTTGCCTTAATCATAAGTCCCTTCCGAGCACTTTTGATTTTTAATTCGTTTTCTTGGCTTTTCTTTCTTCCTTGCACTTCTTGGAATTATATCTCAGAATTTTAGCACAGTTATCAACAGCAGCCAAGTTAACAATATGATTCCCAGATTTTGTCATATCCACACTGATCGGTTTATCAGGCTTACTAATTGACATACTATTTACAAACTCCTTAATTTGATCATCAAATCGCAAGTGTAACACTTTATCACCAGCAATGATCCCATAATCTCCGAGCTTAGTACTTTATTCCTTATGATTGGCTTCTGCATCTGGTTCTCGCTTTTCCAAATTCGGCGATAAAGAGTAGGTGGTCATGCTTCTATGACCCCTAAAAAAATTGTAGAGATAGTCGAGGAGCGTGGATGGTTTTCGGATTACTTCTTTACGTACAGAAGAAGTGGCTTGCTTTTTCAAGTGAATTTCATTTTCTTTTGTCTTAAATGTTGGTGCTTTTGTTTTTTCTGGATAACTTGTCAGCCGCGTTTGATCTTCCCTCTCTGATGTGGAAATTCTATTGTTATGAGATTTTAAATCACCTTGAAATTTCGATTCGGCCGATTTTCGTGCCGCCTGTTTTAATTCAATAGGTTTTCTCGCTGGATTTCTCTTTGCCTTTTTAGATTTAATTTCCTTTTCACTCGATTTGTCCTTCTTTTTGATCATTAAACTCTTTTTCTTCGTATATTCTTGATTGTATTTTGTCTTCGGCGTTTCATTTTCATAACGGGATTCACACTCTGAAGAAGAACTATAAAGATCACCAGGAGTTAAATTACTTTCAGATTTGATTTTTATTTCAGCCGAATTATCCTTCACTTTGAAAGCCTTGCCCGATGGACTAGATAATTCTGTTGAATTGATACTTTATATTAAAAATCTATTTGGAAATTGTTATTAAATTTACCTGATCGATCTACATTCGTTTTGAGATCGAAACTAATCTGGGTCTGAGGAGTGCCATCGATCTCATTTTTAGTATGAGATGTAGAAGATTTTTTGCCATCAGAGCTAGCCAGTAATGTAGGCCTTTTGACATCGGAACTAATCTGCGCGTCAGGTGTGCCATTGGTCTCACCCTTAATATGAGATGTAGAAGATTTCTTTTCATCAGAGGTAGCCAGTAATGTAGGCGTTTTGACATTGGAACCGATCTGGGGCTCAGAAGGGCCACCGGTCTCAACTTCCATATGAGATGTTGAAGATTTCTTTTCATCAGAGTTATCCAACAACTGAGGTGTTTTGAGATCGGAAGCAATCTGGGCCTCAGGAGTACCATCGGTCACAATTGCATTATTAGATGTAGAGGATTTCTTTTTATCAGACCTACCCGGTAATGTAGGTTTTACATGGATACCGGCTTTGTTAAAATATTTATACTCTTCAGATTTTAATAAGGATGCTTTATTAAAAGTCATAGACATCAACAGATCTTCAGATATTGATGCTGTTGCACTTGCTGTTGGTGACTGGCTACTTGATGCATGTTCGATCAGGGTGACTTTAGCACTGCTCTTGTCGCTATTTACTTCCGTGACTTCTTGTTCCAGAAGCGATTTAATCGAGCCCCTTAAAGGTGGTTGAGTTGTTATATTGTTTGCACTTTCTAACCAAATCGATGGCTTTTCAACTCGGAACACTTCTGATTTCCTATCATCTTCACCATTTTCTAACCAAGACTTTATGGATATTTTGCCATATTTGCCAATGGCGTCCGAACTAAGAACTTTGTCTGAGGCTTGGGAAGATTCGTCAATTACCCTCGATACAACCTTTATTGTATTAACATCATGTTTTTTATCAGCTTCGATCAAAGATCTTATTTCTTCAACTACAGAGCCAACAGTATTTTGATTTAATTCGTTTTTTTGAGCTTTAACAGTTTCAATTGCAGCACTTTTGTTCTCTGAGTGATGCTGAGAGTGCGTAGGCTTAGAGGACACTTCCTCAACTTTATTTGAATTACGTAAGATCATTGCTTCCAAAGCTTTACTAAATCTTTCAGTGTCAAAATGGGCAGCACTAACTTCAGATTGGTCTTGCATTAGTTTGCTTTTGTCCCAGAAGCTTTTATTATCTGTTAAGTCGTTGATTTCCGTTGCTTTATTTGCTTTTATACTCTGTATATCGTTTTTGCTTTGCTTTCGCCTAACCACAAAGAGTTCTTTTGGATCGCTCAATTCATTTTCTACTTGCGACGGAATTGTATATACAACTTTAGCTTGATCGGAATGTGACTGTTTCTTATCTTGACTCCAAAAATATTGCTTGGTTTCAGCTTTCACCTGTGTTGCGGGCGATATTTTTAAGTGAGTTGTTTTAGGAACCTTTTTGAATGCATCCTGTGTGGGGTGGGAAGATTCTACTGTTGCGCTATCAGCTTTATCGGTAGGAGACTTAATAGGTGACTTTAAGTTTCGAGTGCTTTCAGATATATTTGGTGAGTCTTGATCAACGTTGCTTTTTGAATCATTGTTATCACTTTGACTCTCAACTGGCTTTGATACAGCGTCTTTCAATGCAACAAATGCCTTAACTCTGTTTTCCAAAGACAATTCATTTGATTTGACCCTACTAGGGTTAATATCTTCAACTTGAGATTGTGTTGGCACTTGTCTAGCTTCCAGCTTAATATTGCTTTCTTCAAGATGTGCGCTCTTATTATCGGTTGCATCATTAGCATTTTCTTTGTATCTCATGTTATAAATTTCCTTAAAAGTTTTGAATGCATTAGACTCGCTATCTGTGGCCTTTTGTTGACCTGCTTTTGTGGAAGCAGTGTTATTCGCATTCTTTATTATTTGCTCCAATCGCTTCTTGATCTCGTCTCCATCGTGAAAATTTCGTACCATTACAGGAAGTGTGCGATAGCCAGCATTCCTGATTGACAAATATGTGTAAGCACTTTGCGGGAAACGCCAATAGAGCATATTAATAATGTGTTTCAGTTTTGTTAGCCCAAAGATCAAACGCTGAAAGTAAACAAATATAATGTCTAATGAAATTTTGGAAAAATCTAAATTGTGTACCAAATCAATAGATGTATTATAAGTTTGCACACTATGTATTAGGAGTCAATGAATTATGATACAAGGATTGCTGTAATATTTAGTTAACAATTTGACAGGCGATTTCTCAAAGGCCATTTGAGTATCTTTAATGCCAAAATGATGCTTGACAAGACACTATACAGAAACCCTAACGGTTGCGGCCTAGTTTGAGTGGCGGACTAAGTGCAGAGATGATGCATAATATGGATAAGGGGATTCTATGGCATGAAGTGGTTTATTGTGGTTTATTTCTCTTCTAATCTAGTTGGCACTGGAATATTTGCCTACAGTCCAGTCTACGTACTACAATTCAATTCAGTTGCCACAACAATTTGTACAAACACATACATTTTTGACTCACTTAAATATTTAATAAAAAAAAAAGTATTCTAAGCGCGTTGATTATTAAGTGATTTAAAAATGGCCGATTCAACACCCTATAAATTAGATAACATGCTTTTGGCTGTGTCTGTTTCGATCAACTTATGTGTGTACTTTGTCGTATATGCAATGTATTCCCAGATAGATCTCGCTTCGGCCATATTTTTGTTATCCACTCTCGTGATTCTTGAAGACGTCCGTATACACTATGTAGATGTCAAAGAAGATACTGATAAGTTCCTAACTGTCCTTGTGGTATTCTGCATATGCAGCCAAGGATTGATGCTTGGTGTATGGACTCCAATTTGGAATCTGTGTGAAAGGCTTCACTTGTACTTTGTGTCAACGGAATATGCAGAAGACATCTTAAATAACAATACTGGAATGTATATGTTTATCAGAAACATATTCTTGTACCTTTTTAAATTGAGCACAGCGCTTTTAATATCTTTCGATATTTTTCGAGGTCACCTGAACCTTAATAAAACGGAATCGGAACGTGTGGGTAACAGCGCTGCTAGGCGATATCGAAGGCATTGAGGATTAAACATGTTGATTAATGTGTAAGTGAGATTCATTGAAACCCAATAATGATATATATATTAAAGTATGCATTTTTCAGACTGCTCAACTGTTCATACATAATTAAAGCTCTTCAAATATAGGATAGATTAGTGACATCGAATTCGTTAGATATGTGGCTATCGGTTAAATTACATAACATACCTCAATCATACTCTTTATTCTGATGAATTAAATCTTCAAATGTTTTAAACTTGAACAACTATGTATTTTTTAATATCGCAACAATTTCTTATTAGTTTTGGCGACTGAACAATCAATATTGAGATTTTCGTCTTGGTGAGTTAGTAACCCAAGTAAATCTGTTTTCTTGTTAGAATTATTATATTATGGATCAACTGATTATGGAGCAACTGATTATGGAGCAACTGATTATAATCAATATAAAACTGACTGTAAATTAAAAAATACAAACAACGTAAGGGGCTCGTATTTAGATTAGCTTGTGGTGTTAGCGGTGCTAATTTAAGTCAACATAGCTGTATTTTGTGTTATCAACTCACATACGTATATAGTGTAAGTATGCACTAAATTTAGTAGATGTTGTTCACCTCGGTATGACATTGTGCAGTGATAATGTGTTGCTCTATTATTATAATTATATTTTTTTGTACAGTAGTACCTTTATCAGTGTTAATCAAATCGCTAATACAATGGGCTTACCTTACTTACTATGAAAGTAGTCCTATGAATTTACAGAAATTAACCCAGGATTTTTGCTTGTTGGCATGCTGGGTACAACAGGAGAGACTAGCAAATTTATAATATTGAGCACTTGTGCATTTGACATACAATATAAATTCAGATAACATTCCGAATGTTTAGTAACTTTAATAGACTGTTTTGCTTGTGCACATCAAATTACATTGTTTTTGATTTATAAAAAAAAGATGAGCTATGTTAATAAAAAGTTAAAATTTGATAGGATTGTTGGCATTCCTGGCTTGTACGTGTATCATAACTTTGATTGCACCGTCCAGACCATCGCGAGATGTTTCAAATGCCTTCTGGGTCTCCGTAATATCGAAATGATGCGTGACAAGGCGCTTTACATTTACCCTGCCGGAAGCAACCAACGCCAGCGCCGCAGAATAGCTAAAAAGATACAGAAATCAGTTAGCTACAAACTGAAGACAACCTAAAAGATGCAACTTACTCATTACAATAACGAAATATACCGCGTATGTCTACCTCACGAGCTAATGCATTGAACAGAGGAAGATTCATTTCTGCGGGACCCATGCCCACGATGACAACGACTCCACCAGAACGCGTAGCCTGCGATATCAAAGATTATCATATCATAGGTTTCAAATTTAACAGTAGTTCTTACAAAGATCGATAGACGAGTGCTGCTCTCCGCTCCACAACAGTCAATTGAAATATCAGGCTGCGCGCTCATTGTTTTGCGCACACGTTCCAAAGTTTGTTCAGAGGTCTCATCACGCTTTAAGAGAAGCGTATGTGTGGCACCCAGTTCTTTGGCCACATCCAGACGCTGTTGCACTAAATCCGTAATTAAAATCTCAGTGGCACCCATTGATTGCGCAACCTTAAAGCATTGAATAAAAGTTTACTAGATATACGATATGGTCAAGATTTAGATTAATACTTACGAGAAGAGAAACCAATCCAATTGGTCCTGCACCCAGGATAAGCACCTTTGAGCCTAAGGTCACTCCGGCACGCTTACAGGCATGCACACCCACCGACAGCGGCTCCAATAGAGCACCCTCCTCCATGCTGACATGATCGGGTAACTTGAAGCAAAAGTCCGCTGCATGTTTGTAATACCTCGTCAGATTGCCATCATAGGGTGGCGTTGCACAGAAAGCCATATCTGGACAGAGATTGTAACTGCCCTGCTTGCAGTGATCACATTTGTAGCACGGCACACCCGGCTCGATGGCGACTCGATCGCCTACAACCAGATTCTTAACCTTGCTGCCCACTTTGGCCACAACACCAGCACTTTCGTGGCCAATCACCATGGGCTTGGTAACCACAAAATGACCAATGCGACCCTTTGTCAAATAATGCACATCTGATCCGCAAATACCAACGCTATCCATCGCAATAAGAACCTCTGTGCAGCAGAATTTGTGTATATATTAAAGAGTTATTGTAGATATTCTTATCCACTTTTAAGACTTACCCTCATCGGATATCTCCGGAATTGGACGTTGCTCCTACAGATTCATGTGTACATAGAATGACGCATGAAATAAATTTGACTTTTAGCTTGATTCTGCTTCCATTTTTTTTTTATTTTTTGTTTTGGCTTACCAAACGCAGGTCATTAATGCCATGTAAAACAGCTGTCAGGTTATCTTTTGCCATTTTCGATTACTCGACTTGAGGATGGAACTGTACTAAGTTGAATTTAACTTTCCTATAGCAAACAATCCGCACGCTTCGAACGCTGATTTGCAACTGATTCCATGTGCTCAATAAAAAGTTGCTCACTGTGCTGTCTATAAGCAAATTGTCTCTGCTCATGAATAAATATCTATATGCATAGATAGACACATAAGTGGGAAGATCTACGAGCATTTGTGCAATCTATTAAATTTGCCTCCTCTTTAGTAGATTGTTTATAGTATACGCACAATAACAATTAAGGTTTTTCGCTTTATTTCTTATCATCGTCTTTGAAATCAGCTGTTCATTTCGCTTGTTTACACTTCTTAAGTGTATGTGTGGATGCGAGGGGCGAAAACCGGCATCTCCATTGTCATGTCAAGGTCACCACGCAGATAAAAAAATGCGTTCGCAAAAATACCATAATTTTTTTTTTTTTTAAATCAGCTATCGAAATTGTTAATAGCGAAATTTCTAAAGTCGGTACTCAGTAAAGAAAAAATAAAATCCACATGAAAGTCATGGCGTTGCCACTCGCTCAATTTGTGTGGATTGTATGAACAGCTGTTTGAGATTGTTTGAGCGCGCAGTTTGAAGGGAGCTGGAATTTCTGCTTGCCCACATTATTTTCATGAGTAGCAGATACAATAACAGTTTAGATAATTTCCTTATGTATCTAAATATAATAATCTAATGTATTAATTGTTAAAGATGCTTAAATTAAATATTAAACATTTAAAATTTAATAAACTTGCTACGAACACGCACTTTTAAAATTATATGCGAGCTTTCAAAGCATTAGTTATATTAGATTAGAATTGAATAAATAAATTTGCCACATATTCTTGATCTGCATCATCATCCGAGCTCGTCCATCTTCACCGTGCCAATAGTAGTTCTTTCTTGTCTTGTTTTTCATTAAATCATAATGATTTTTGGTTTATCACCACAAATATGTAAGTGTGAATAGCACAAATTAAAACGGCAATAATAACAAAGTATTTATTTTGCATAAGTTAAATAAATACTGAGCATGTTGTTTTTATTCAGTATATATTTGATGTAATTTCCAATATAAAAAAATATGTATGCTTACTGTTTGTCAGCAGAGCACAAGCTTTGTTTTTACCAACAAAAATTTCGAAATTCTTTATTTATTTAATGAGTTCTGTGAATTTTGCAGTATTTACGCAATCGCTAATTGGTTATTTTTTAAACCAATGTAAACGAACTGTTGTTGACATTTTGGCGTTGAAAATTTGAACAGTGAGAGATGAAAATGGCACTTTTAAAATTATTTGACCCTAAAAAAAACTTTATTTTGGTATTTATCTAAAAGCCTTAATGTTGTATATTTTTTTTATTGCAAAATTTAAAACAAACTTTACATTTGAAAATGATCTCTTTTCAAGTGTGAGTTATCACGTATTGTTAATATTTGAATATTTCATTCAGATGACAAATAATTAAAAAGAAAACAATGGGAATTCATTGAAAAAACAGACCTGTGGTCTTTGGATGAGTCAGCAGCTTTTGCCAACTGCTCTTATTTATCGTAGAAGATAAGCCCGATAGAGGGGATTAAGCGACTACATTTTATAAAATAAACATACAAGCATGTAAATCAATTCAATTGCCAGAGCAAAACACAGCAAGCTGATAACAATAGGCAATTTTGTGTTCTTATGTGTATAAAAAGCCATTCCAATGTCTGACCAGATATTAGTCTCTTTGAAACTACTACGACTGAGATTCACTCAGAAGAAAACGACATCGAATCGCTTTAAAATGAAATTCGCAATTGTTTTGCTCGTCGCCAGCATTGCCTGCATTAATGCCCAGGTAACAATAAAATTAATCTTGTGATCTGTAGAATTGTTTTTTTTTGGCTAAATCAATTGCATTGCAGGCCTTTGGTCCTTTTGCCGGCGGTAATCCCTTCGCTGCAGCATATAATCCGTATTTGAATGGAGTTTTCGGTGGAGGCGCTGCAGGACTCGCAGGACCCTCAGGTGCTGCCGCCCCAGCTCTTCCATCATCATCCTTTGGCGGCTTCTCTGTCTCCGTCTTCTTTCAGTCCGTGGTGCTGCAAAAGGAGGCCGACCGTCAGCTCAACCAGGTGAACTTTCCTGCCGACTTGGCCGACCGTATCCAGACCGTGCTTGACAATTCCCAGGTGGGCTTTGCCAACTGCGACACTGCCACTTTGCCATGGATGCAAATCCGCTGCGTCAAGCCCGCAGTGACCGCTGCCAAGGACCAGCTGAAGGCCATCGATGACGAATGGAAGGCACGTCAGGCGGCGTCCACAGCGGCATCAACTGTCTAAGATGAGCTTCCCAATTTGAACACCCAATGAAACACTAAGTGCAATACACCAACATAGATTCGATATGCTTAAATAAACATTTTGAAAGCACCTTAGCTTCAAGTGGATACGAATATTGGGGTGGGGTTCGATGGCATCCTTGACCTGAGCCAGGACACGCTTTGATGTGGCTCAGTTTGGTCAAGCGTTTTGCATAGCTGTACTATATTAAATTTGCTGCTTTTACGAAATTTAGCATAGCCTCCACCGTATACGTTTTAGGGGAATTGGCTGCAAATATTTTGTTGTCCCTCCCAAAAACACGACATCAGGCAGCTTAGTTCACAACTGTCCTCGGCAAGGCCAAGCAAAAAACTTGACGCATTTTTGCCAAATATTTGAATTCCTTCACTTTATTTGCTCGCCTTTCCGGCATTTCTTTGTCATTCACGCCCCACCCTCGCCCCCTTAATGCTTTATACTCTCTGTGCGAGTACACATTGTGTAAATTGTTGGGAACGCCGCTGGCGACAGACAGCCCTTTTATACATTCATCATTTTTGCCTTGGCTATGTCCTGCCAAAAAGTGTTTTCGGCGCATGATTTTGGACGCATTTCAACTCAAAGTGCTACTCTGTGGTTGTGTCGAAGCCCCAATGTTGATTTATGTGGCCAATGCAGTTTCAATTATCATTGTCCTGGTCATCGTCATAGTCATCGTCCTAGTCGTCTGTCCTCTCAATACATCCTTCTCCTCTGTGTGGCAGCTCAGAATTTGATTTGATGCCATGTCTGTCGACAGGAAAATTAAATTTTCAAACACACGTAGAAACAGAGAGAGAGAAAAAGAGAAAGAGAGAGAGAGAGAGAGAGAGAGCGAACCGGTAGCATTAAGGGGATTAAATGGTTTGGCTTAACGAGCCAAAGATTTGCCGCAAATGACCAAAACCAAGGTCCATGGAGGATTGAGCCAAATGACGCATACGCCTCGTTGACGTTCCAAATGCGACTAAGCACATTCAAATTCAAATTCAAATTCAAATATGTAATTAAATGTAAATTTTGAAACAGCCGCTGGCCATATCAGCGAAGCACTTGCTTCCCACACACACACACACACACACACACACACACACATACACACATAAACGCGCACATACAGAGCACGATGACAAGGCGAATTACAAGGATTAGGGCAAGTGCAAAGTTTTGTCACTTAATTGAAATATTTGCCCCAAGATTGAAACTTGCGTTCCGTTGTTTGTGTCATTACAAATACAACAAATATGCCAGTGTCTAAGAGTGTGTGTGTGTGCGTGTGGCATGAACTTTACTAAGGTTTCTGGTACTACCAACCACGCCCATTTCCGACCAGCTCCCCCGTATTTCTGCTAATGCAAAAGTTGCCGCATTTCCAGTGCTGAAGAGAGAAGTGGACAAAATAAAACCAGGCCGCACTTGGCAGCCTTCTGCCAAATATATGCTAAAATGTTAAACAAAGCAAAAGAAAAAGAAGAAAGAGCTGGTTTTCTGATGCCGAAGACTTAATACCCTAAGTAGATAAGTACTTCATTTGTATTTGCATTTTAGCAATACCAATATAATATTCTACGTTGCTCTTATTACTCCAGTTTCGATCAATGTAAACAATAATATTATCATCGTATAATGATAAGAATAATTAAATCTATTATAGATTTTAGACGTTCATACATATTGATACATATCTATGTCATAAAACCACAAACTCAAAATCGCGCTGATTGTGCATCAATTCACTCAATTCGGCATTGGTATTTTTAGCCTGCAGCAAACGATTTTTGATGTTTTCAAAATAGACACACTTTCTTGCATAGTGACAGACATGCGGCTGTTTCTATTAATAGCCATCCAAAATGTACGGATATGCTTCGTTTCGTGAGTGAAAAATTTAAAATGCTACCAGCGAGAGTATAGAAAGCTGGAGAGAGAACAGGGACCATGCGCCGCCTGTAAGCGCATGTATGTAAATTGGTTTGGGCTTGTGGATTTGTATGCAGGAGTTGCGCTCCAAAAAGCAGGCAACAACAGTTTTTGCGGCTTGGGCATGTCAGGCTTTGTTAACTGCGAGTGTGGGTGTGGCTTGTATGGGCGTGTTGTCGTTTTGGTCAAAATGAATTTAGCCATAATGGAGCAGCAGTCCAATGCGAGTTGACGAGTGACTCACATCCGGTTTTCGCTACTCGGCGTATGTTATTTTCTCACCTGTTATCAAAGCTGTTATATTTGCTAAAGCTTAGCGCTAAATTTATACTCGATTTGCCACTTGTAGTTCCCCACCGACACGTAGTCATATCTTAACAAAAAAAAAACAAAACAAATTATAAGAATAAACTCACTTAACACGGTTATGTAAAGCGGCTATAAAAATGTAATTGGGTTAAAGCCGCTAACAATGTCACAACTTTATCTTTGTTGAACTATCTATAGAATATGAGATAAGATATACTGCTAAATAGATGCTTTCTCTATGTCTCTGTCGATAAATTGTCCACACATTTAGTTATCAAACGCTGCCAGAGAATGTCTCCTTCTATGCTGCTCGTGATCTCAGTTTTGGTGTGTCTGGTAAGAATTCGAGTTTAATTGGATAACCATCTATTACAAGGGTTTTTTTTTTGTTGTTATTGCAGCATGTGCTGGCGTTCGGCCAAGAAGGATCCATTGAGAAGTTCCTGGAGCGCTCTCAACAAGCGGAGCAAGCTGTGAGTCTGGCACTCGAGAAAAAATTGCCACCGAGTTCAGAGGCTCGCCGGGAGGGGGCAGAGATATTAGCTACATTGAATCAAGGCCTAAAAACGTGTGACCAGCAACTGCGAAGCAACGGGTTAGTTGGCTTAGATGCTTATAATACATGCGTTAGCTCCCTTCAGGGACTGGCTATGGCCTCAATAGGCGAATTGGCTGGACAGCATTGGGCCAAATCTGGAGCATCACGCCCCACACTGTTCTGGTAGGAATGCAGATTACAATAATATAACTAGTAATTGAAGCAGCTACATAAATAAATGCTCAATCGAGGTGATGGTCATAATGCTGTAGTACTCTTTCATTTATTTAGCTTAGCGTCATCAAAATATTCAAGATACATCATGTTGCCACGATAACAAAGAAACAAAGAAGGAGAAGAACCCATCGAGTCGAGAGACGCCTTTAGAATCAGCATTTTGGTGGCAGCATCTGATGAAGTTTTTGGCCAAATTGCTGACGGGCAAAAATTTAGCATTGCTCCTTGCTTTGTTGTATTCTAATTAGACGCTTTGAGTGTGCGCCACTCTGGGTGTGTATGTGTTTGTGTAGGTGTGTGTGTGTGTGTGTGTGTGTGTATGCTGCTTTTGCTCATTAGAGCCAATGTGCGGGATGTTTGGGGGAAAGAGGCGTCGCCGTGTGGCGCATATAACTGAGTAATTATCATCATTAAACACAAGGCGAAGCAGTCAAAGCAAATAGCGACATTAACGCTGTGGAAGTGGAAATGGGTGCCAAGGCAGATGAAAAAAGCAAGGCAAGTTGAACAACCGGATATGGGATCAAGAACAGACTTTTTCAAGTTTTAAGTGAAAGTTTGTGTGGGTGACGCAATTGTTTCAGCCTTAACGCGTTCCGTTCATTTAACACGAAAATAAATCTTTGAAATGAACCGATCAACTCGAACGAAAAACTCCTTTTGATAAATAAACATTATTACTTTTTCTAATACCAGATTTACCAGACTTAGAAGTTCTTCGTTGCATACATATATATATATTTTTTTTGTACATTTTTGCATCATTTACAGATAGTTGCATTTGGTTTATTTTTCAATAATAATAACAATCTTTTTTTTATATTACCTGACTCACTTTAATTTTCGGTTGGAAATAGATATATTTTTTAAATTTTTGCATCATTTACGGATAAGTTGGTTTGGTTTTCTTTTATCTCTTATTTTTGTGCCCTTTTTGGGCAATTGCCTTAATTATTTATTTATTTGCCTAGGCTTTTGAATCCTCCGCCGTGGTTTCTGTATCTGAAGGGGGTGCATCTGGCTTGGGCTCATCAGTATTGCCGATAACACACAGTGGGCACTATAAATAAGAAAGGTTTCCGAAAATTGTATAAGATATATATATATATATATATATATATATATATATATATGACTCAGAATTTAGATAATCATGATTCTTAGTTTTTTAAAAGGCCAATTTTTTAAATTCTTTGGTATTTTTTCTTTCGAGTGTATATAATGACAGATACCTTCTCCTTAAGCACGAGACGATACTTGGGATGGCTAAAGAAAAATGAGATATATTAACAATATTTTAAGTAGCAGTGTTGAGCACTTACCTTATGCCATAGACAATGGGATTGTAGACAGCGCTGGTCTTGGCGAATGTGGCGCCCCAAATGGTTGTCAACGGCGTCAGACCGTCGATCTTGAACAAACCAAAGTAACAGATGACCAGATACGGAGTCCAGGCCATAAACCAAAGCGATATAGTTGTCAGAGCCACCTAAAAGGTAAATAAAAAAACATTCTACAATTGTTAACTTAATAAACAGATTATATGATTTAACCTTGGCTAGCTTGCCCTCAGCACTCTTATCACAGTCCTCGGAGCTGCGCAACGATTTGACATTCATCTTCTTGGCCTGTTCTCGCATCGCCTTCTCGTGAGCAGCAACGGCCTATGAATTATGGTTTTAGTTGCATAGCAAACATTGATTAATGATTGCAGCTTACAGCAATTATGTACCAGTACGAGAAACAGATTAGAAATAGTGGCACATAGTAAACGAAAATCGAATAAGTTATCAGATAGGAACGTGGATTCCATTGCCTTGTCATGTAGTCAATGCTGCATGCGGTCAAATTACCCTCGGGGACATAACTGCTCCAGCCGATTAGCGGCATGATTGTCCAAAATGTTGCCATCAGCCAAATGAACAGAATCTTCATGATAGCCAGCTTAATTGTCATCGGCGTTCCATTAATGCCCTTCACAATGACATTGTAACGGTCGAAGGCGATCATGCACATCGACCAAATCGATACACAGCCAAACATTGAGCCACACACGGCATAAATGTCGCACCACAATGGCCCCAAAATCCATGTTTGATAGTAAAAATTAATCAACATTATCGGGGATTGTGAGGCCATCATGCAGAAGTCAGAGAACGCGAGATTCAAAACGAGGAGATTGGCAGGAGTGCGCAAAGATTTGGTGCCTCCAAAAATGTAGACAACTACACCATTGCCACAGCAGGAGATGATTAGGATAATAAAGGTGAACATGCCCAAAATGTTGCTCATTGTTGGATCCATGGGCGCGAAACGGCTCCAATATGGATTGACAAGGCTCGCCATGTCCGGCAGCACCTGTGAATGGTTTAATAAACAAAAGTGAATCATCTTGCTTTAAAAAATTTAAGTTAAAAAATAATGGTGATAATTAATTGTAGTTCTTTTTTTTTTGAATTGTTTTAATTACCGTACCAAACAAACATAATAAATAAATTAAATTAAATAAATAACTGAAGAATTTATCTGCATATTTTGAACCAAATATTTTTGTAAGTCGATTGCAGAGATTATTGTGAAATTATTGTGAAATTGTATGCATAAAATTGCAATTTCTATAAGAAAAGCTGGATAAGCTTGCATGCTCGATGAATCGTTGATATTTATGAAAATAAATTTTATTCATTTTGTTTTATTTTAATTGAAGGGAAATCATTTAAATATCAAGCGCCCAAATAATGAACATATAATTTCTGAAATGCCAATAATATGCGTACACTGCAATATTTTAGCAAGTTTTCCAATTATTCAACTCAAACTCACATTGTCCAGCACGGAGCCATTACCGCCCGCCTGGGCCTCGAATCGCGGCCCAAGTTGAGTGCCAAACATGGCAACCGCGATTGTCTCTGGCATCAAACTGTGCACCATGCTCAGTTCTAACTGTTTGCGATTTGGAGGCACACATTAAGAGACCCGGGCCAATAGAGCTGGCTAATAGTTGACAGTGACTTTTATATAGGCAAATATTTGAGCCAATTAAGCGTAGATCAATAAAATATGCAAAACTATGAACAAAATCTGACAATTGTCAGATTAAAGTCAGCTTTGGTTTTTCTTTTTATTAACAAAACTTGTGCAATAGGGCTATTATTTGTACTCGTCTTTCAATGTCGTATTACCATTTGTGTTTTGCGTCTATTTAGAGCTTTGCCAAGAATTTCTGGCCACACTTTTGGCAGAGCTTTTTCTGATGTGACTTAGGCACCGAACATAATGAACATGAAATGTTGAAGGAGCTCCTTGAGGGAAACTGTTTCTTGCATTCGATATTTAAAGACTCGGGACTCTCACTGGAGTCCACAGTTTGTGTTTGGCTCATCATTTGATATTTACGCTCATCTTCGTCATCGGAGCTGGGCAAATGATACTGCACAATTTTTACTTGCTGATCGATGATGAGCTTCTTGCAACACTCCTTGATGTGATAGTAGGCATTCCGAAAGGATTTCATCTTATGTGCCTAGATGGTAATATGCAAACAAATATATTATATTTATTTTATTTATTTATTTATATATACTATGTACATCATGTGTGCGCTTACTTACCGGCGTTAGACTGATGAGCGACTTGCCATTCGGCCCGAAAGAGTCAAGCATGAGCACCTGGGAGGATCTGTCGACGTGATTGGCATCCATCCAGACGAGCAACTCCTTGTGTACGTGCATGTTCATGGTTATGATGTAATCAAAGTAGTAAAAATCCTGAATCGACAACTGCCAAAAGGAATACGCTCATTTAGAGAAAACCTTGTGTGTACCCAACGTGCATATTTACCAGCCGGCAAAAGTGATCTGAGCGCAGTCCGTGCTCTCGCAAAACGCGCAGGCATTGTGCATTTGGTCGTCTTCCGATGTTCCAGGTGCGTAATGCGGCACTATCGACCTCCCAGTACAGACTGGTCTTCACCATTAGATTCTGCATGATGGTCTCCGCCATCGGGGAGCTGCAAGAGTTGCCTGCAGCGGAAGAGGTCAATGATTGACATACTTTTGTTTATTCAGCAGAGGGATACTCACCCATGCACACGAAAAGTAGTTTCTTAAATGACATTGTTCTTGGAACTGGGAATTTGGCTCTCGTGTAATGAGTTTACTTTTAAGTAAGTATTATGTACGTATGTCAAATATTCCGATTTTTTTGTATACTGAATTTTTTTAGTTGAAATGCTACTGAGTCGACTTTCAATTCGTGCTGCATTAGGCGTATCACTGGTGTTGCCACCAGTTTCAAATTAACACAAATGACCCATGTCCCAGATAATGTAGAACAAGACTCTAACTGCGACCCCCAGACACCCAGAGCCGCCTCGTGAACTCTGCTCTGTTCGGTGCAAGCATTCCTCTCGCACCAAATTGTACACTCCATTTTCTATGATATCCATTGTCGTAGCCAAGTTTGAGTTTGTGTGTGGTTGTGTGTGTGTGTGTGTGTGTGTCACCAAAGTGTGAGTAAGTATGTGTAAGTGCACTTCTCTGCCTGTTGCTGTCCGCCTCACTGGTTGCCCTCTGGACCATCTACAACTTCATTCCGTCCCAGCAAAAAGCGCACAGTGTGCCAGATTATATTTGAGAGGTTTCTATTGAGATATAAATTTGGTGACTGTGTAGAGTTTGTGTAGAGTTAGTCTTTTGTTACATTCACATCTATTGGCCGATGTAACATAAATATTTGTGGTGCATTTTATTTTTTTGGAAATTTAAAAAGAGATTTATTTTATTTATCTGGTAATTGTTAATGTTGAAATGTTTAATGTTTAAATAATTAACAAACTAAGTTTGAAACAGATAAATCGTACTAACTGATTCGTGTCAATCTTTAGGTTTGAGTGACAATATAGAGTTGAAAGTTCAACCAATTGCTGAAAATTCGAATTAAACAACAGTTCTGAATTAAATTCATTTTGAATTAACCTTTTGAATTTATACTTAGTTGGTTCAATAACATTTGATATTGATTATCAGGCGGCAACATTTTATAATTTAAAGGCACTGTGCGAGTAGGAGAATTAGTTGCAAGTCGTTGTCTGTTGACTTGGCAAACGTTTGTTCCCCGTCCACTTGCCTCACCCATTCGTGTTGCAGTGTGGCAAAGTCAAAGGCATTAAAAATATTAGACTGACAGGTGGGCGACTCTTGCCACAAGGAGTGTCACCTTCCAGCGTGATGTCCGCCCCGCGACGTGAGGCGACTTCCAAATTGGCTCCCAGAGGGCGGTGGACGGATAACCGTCGGGTTCACCGCACTGGACCTATGCCGTGACCCAAATATGCAAATGTACAGCTCTGTAGTTTATCCCCCTGCGCTGATATTATAGTGATATACTCTGCCGGGCTATGTATGCATTTAAAGGTGCTAACTGAATTTGTGTGCACACCAACTATGCAATGGACTTTGATTCCTCTTTGTTATTTTTATGCAAACAGGCTATTATTAAGAGACTGTCTGATTGCCAACATTTTCCGAATGTTTCCCCCTTTAAAAACGGCAAAAAAAAAAAACAGGAACTTTTCAACTTACTGCGGCTGGAAACTGAATCCCGGCTGGTTGCTCCCCTTTGCCAATATCCAATTGCAATTGCATTGAACGGCTAAATTGAAAACTGCAAAGCATATTTCACTTATCACTTTTCACACAAAACACAACCAGGAACAAAGCGGAAAGTCCGACAGAGAGAGAGAGAGAGAGAGGGTGCTTCGGTCACAGCGGATGAATACAAAACGAATGAAATGAAATTGTAAAAAGTAAAACATTGCAACAACAACAACATCACCAATTGCTGTCTGGCTGCCCAGGCAATACAATAATAGTGGCTGTGTGTGAGGGTGTGAGTCGATTATTGGATAGGTAAGAGGAATTCTTTGAGTGTGGCACGACATTGTTGTTTTAATTAAAACCAAACCGAGAGTTGTTGGCCCCACCAGAAATGGAAACAAAAAATGAAATATTCCAAAGTGAGCACCCAGTAGAATCCGGTATATAGACAGAAAGAAAATTGTTGAATATTTAGAGCACAAAAATGACTGAACACAGGAGCAAGCCCAGTCACCAGACAACCAGAAATCTGAAACTGATAGAGTGCGCCTTTGTGATTGTGTGTGTGATTGTTTATTTGTGCGAACAATCGTAACCCAAGTGCTGTGGCTATTTAATTCGACTCACACACAATCACACACACATTCACATCCACACTCAGACACACCAACACTCAGCCAAACACAAGCCAAAGTAAAGCCAGACAGTGATAAAGCAGAAGTTGGCATAAAGTCGTAACTAATGGCAATTTAAATTAAGCAAACAGCACAATTAAAGTGAAAGTATAAATCAACCAAAAATTTTAAAATAAACAGAAATAAAAGGGAAGCCTGGCTGACAACGTGTGTTTTGCTGTTGTTGATTTTGTTGTTGTTGCACTTTGTTGACCGCAAATGCAATTTACAGCGCAACAATCAGTGGCAAAAGCAAAAAGCAGCAACGCCAAAGAAGAAACTAACATAAACACAAAAAATGTTGCTCTTGTTTCTGCTGCTGCAGTTGTTGTAGTTGTTTTTGTTGCAGCTGTTGTTCCCGTTGTTCTGCAAAACACCAACAACAACTGTTTTGTCATCAGCAATAAAAAGCAGCACTGCCAGTGACTGCATTAACTGACCAGTCCGAGTGGCCGCGGGGCATTGGGCGTGGTGTGCAGGTCCAGCATGGGGTTGTGGCATTGGCCTCAATTGTGTTGAATGCATCATAGCTCTGACCAAAACACACACACGCACAAACACACACACACAAACACTCACAGATTTGTACACAATATAAGAGGCAATGGCAGCCACTGCGAAAAATGGGTAAAGTGGGTTGCCGGGATGTGCTTGGAGTGCGACGCTGCTGATTGAGGTTCATCGAATTTGTGGGTTTGCGTTCCAAATTAAATTTCCCAGAGGCGTGTGCACGTCTGTGTTTGTGTGTAAATCAGGCAACCCTAGTTGAAGCCATTGCTCCCTTACACTATTCGACATCTGCTTTTGAGTGCAGCATATTATGCAATTCTTGTACTTCTAAATAAATCCCAGTGCAACGCATTTATTTGTGTTCGCCCAAGTCTAATAAATAAATTAAAATGCATATGCTGTATTGCGTTGCGAACAGGAATTGAGTTAGTGTCCCTTGCCCCAGGATACACTCATAAATATTTATGATCTCACTTGCACTTGTGGGAATCGGTTGCCAGTTGACAGAGTTGGTCAGCCGGTAGGCCCAGAGTAGAGCTGTCGCTTTATGTGCGTTAAGCTCCATGATTGAATTGGCCATCTCCGACACAGGCGCTGACGCCTGGTCTGACACCTGGGTCCCCTTGTTGGCAAATACAAACCGTTATTGGCTCGGTGTTGGTAGTTCGTGTCAGTTGAAGTGATAGCAGGAAATAAATGAGCCTGTTTTGTTGGCTTGTCATTTAGCTCAACTGAATTGTGCTGCCAACTCTTTAGATTCGCATCATTAATGAATCATCAGCAAGACAAAATAAATGCAAATTTTAAACAAAAAATTAAGAAGTTGAGCGCTTACGCTTACTCTATCATTAACTGATTCAAATCTCCAAGCTTATAACTATACATTATTAAAGACCATTTTATAGGAATTTACTTTAGAACCAATTAACTGTCTGATGTTAATATTTTTCTTTGATTGATCGGTTCTTTGATTAATTGATTTAATTGCTTTAACTTTATAACTAACTTTAACTTTAAAACCTGATTCTATAATATTGTAACCCGATCCGAATTGTTCCAGTTAAGTTATATATGTATATAGAAGAAATTTAGTAAGATTTGAGAAAGGTGCGCCCATGAGCTATAATAAATAAGAGTATAACAAGCAGTAGGTCATTTAAAAGCATTGGCTGGCCTGTTCATCAATATCGCTAACATTGACTTGACCTGCTGAGATTGCGAGGCCGACTGCGATTTGCCTTGGCCGATAATGCCGCACGTAACGGCAATTCGGTAAATGATGATGCAATGAATGCTGCAGAGGTATGTGGTGGAGAATGGACTGGCTATTGAGCGGAAGATGAAGGCACAGCTGGGGCACGTTCCAGACGGTAGTCAATCGTCTGCAACATCTCGTTGCTGACTCCTTTCCGGGGCAGCCAGCTCGTAAGTCATTTAACATTTTGAGGTATTTAATGAGCCAAAAAGTTTTTGCCGCACATAAATTAAAAGTCCGACGGGTCCTCCAAAAAAACTGACCCGGACAGTCATGGGCCAGTTTGCGGGCCAGGTGTTAGCTGACCAATCCACTGGCTACCGCTCGCTCGAACGACAAGCCAATGGCTCTATTAGCATGCCCATTAAAATTAGACAAATGGTTGCCATTGGCTCTGCCGTTGCCGTTGCCGTTGCTGTTGCCGTTTCGCATATCCGCAAATTTTGGCCATGCTGCAGATTTATGGGCCACTGAGTGGCGAATGCAGGCTTTTGTGGATCGGTCAGATTCCGTTCGAGAACTGGCCTTGATTTTGGTTTGCTTTGGCTTCGCTTCTTTTGGCACAATCATATGTGCCACTTGAGAAATGCCATTTGTTATGATAAATGATTATGTTGTCAGCTGCCCGTTGCCTGGTGCCCATTGGCATTTTAAACACAAACGGGATTCGTTTGTGAAGGTCAGCGAAAGGCATTAGAGAGTAATTGGCAAGAGCGCTGCTTTTTGGCTTTTGCTTTAAGCCATCTTGGGCAAGTCCCTAGCTTTAAACTTTCCATTCATCGATACTTTTATTTTGGCTATTGAAGTGAGTGTGAAAGAGTGTGTGATGCGATTGAATTTGTTGTGCCTTGTACTCTACGTATTTTGTGAGTGTGCGTGTGTTTGGTGTAAGCCTCTTCTATTTGGCAAACCTTTTGCCAAATTTAACCCTTCACTTCATTAAACGTATTTTCCAATCCTTTGGGGTGCACAAATCACTTTGCCGCAGATACTCACAAAAGCCAAATCTAAGGCGTTCCGTGGGTGGGGCCATAGAATTTTGACAAGCAGCCAAACAAAAGCCTAATCGTGCAGCTGCTGCTGCTGCTGCTGCTGCTGCTGCTGCTGCTGCTTCTTCTACCTTCTCTGGT